ATGACAGCGGTTTATGAGGGTCTAGAGATTCGCAGAATGCTTTCCAGCGTTCGCTCTCCAGTTTGTAAATGCGTCGTTGAATCTTTTTCTGGAGCCGCCCTGCTTCCCCCAGATCGTAAATTGGTCTTGAGCGTCTGTATCGTCGTTCAGCACGCCTTCATATAGCTCGTAATTTTTCCAGTTTGATGTCAAACTGTGTTATTTTAGACAAAAATGGTAATTTTCATTTGGACGCTTGCATAGCTTCCGCTATGGTATTTTCCAGGCTGCAGGCGAGGCCTTCTTGGCAAGCGTTCTCAATACGCGATGCAAACATCGACCAGTCAGTGCCAATTGCAATACCGGAAGAGAAATTTTTTATGATACCATCGATCGTCACGTAGGTGGCTATGTGATCACTCCCATGAGTCTCAATATCGCAAAACCACTTAACTTTGTGAGAGAAGCACCGTGACACCAATGTCAGGTCAAGGCAACTGCCATACGTGAGACCCCGCAGATATGTGGGGACACCATCGTTCATGATGAAAAGGTCGTAATTGGAAGCGAATGTAACAATGTTCCGGCCCCTGGCATTCATCCTAGTGCTCCCCCAAAGCATGTGATGGGCGTTGAAGTCACCGGTGATGATCCAAGGCCCATCAGTTCTCATTAGGATGTCTTTTAATCTGGCGCAGTCAAATCGCGATGACGGAGATATATATCCACCAATAAGTGTGAACGAAACTGCATTCTTCTTTACACGAAGACACACGTACTGATTGTCGTCATTTGAACTTATTGGGTGCGAAAGATAAGTCAAGTCTGTGCGAACGTAAACAATTACTTTGCTTCGTTCTTCGCAAGCGGCTGAACAAAAAGCTTCATAACCGGACAATCTATAAGGCGTTGATACGTTTGGTTCACATATGACAAGTATAGGGAATTGATTGGCCCGAACAAATTGGCGAAAGTCCGAGATACGGGACTTCATGCCTCTGGCATTCCACTGAAAAATCGACGCACTTTTAACTTCAGCGCGGAAGATGAGATTTTGTTGAGCCATTGTGCTTATACGAAGTTAGCAAGAACTGGATTCAGTGCATCTAGTATTTGCAGTGCACTCTTAGCAGACGAAGATTGTATGCTGCTCAGTAGCGTGCGAATCGTGGCAATTAATGATTGCACGATTGCAGTCACTTGCCTGTCTTGGTTGGAAAGATCTCGAACCGGGACGATTGCAGTCACTTGCTTGTCTTGGTTGGCAAGATCTCGAACCGGGAGCGCGGACTGGCCGTCATGAAACTCCTTCGGTTCGCTTGATGCTGCTTCCCTTTGAAGTGCAGGCCACTCTGTCGCAGTTAGGGTATGCTCACTGGCTTTGTCCTTTACAGCCTTTCCCACGGCATGTGGTCTGGGAGGCAAAGGAGGTGGTACTGATGAGGGATCACGCAAACGTGTCGAGGAGGTAGCGGGCGTCCTCGAAGACCGACGTCGACGTGAACGACGCCTTCTGACTTTAGCTGCGGCTTCTCGATGAGATGAGTGATCGCGCACCATCTCCTTCAAGATGGCAATTTCCTTCTGAATCCGCGGGCAGTCCTTCGATGTGGCTTCATGGGATCCATTGCAATTAGAGCATTTCTTGACAGTTGCGACGCGCTTATCCGCTTCATGGTGCTCGGCGCAGCGGTGGCATACCACCGAATTCTCGCAGACGCTGCTCACATGTCCAAGTTTCATGCATTTACGGCACTGAAGAGGCTTTGGAATGAAAGGCCGCACAGCATGTCTGAAGTACCCCACCTTCACATGAGAGGGGAGTGATGTGCTCTTAAACGCAATCTTCACACAGCGAGACTTGCCTAGCCGGGTGACATCAACAATAGGAGTATCAGTTGTTGACTTGACGAGAAGTTGTAAGTCATTATTAGAAATAGCGATATCAATGTCGTAGATCACGCCGGTTACTACATCACATCCCAAGGGAACATGAGAGCGCACCTGGTTGCCGTCCAAGTCAGTTACACTGCGCAGAACGCCCAACGCACTTGCGTGCAAAACGTCCACAGCCAGTATATTTTTTCTGGCGTTCACTCTTATGTCCGTGATCTCATTTGGCACGAGCGTTTCCAGAGACCTCGACACAGACTATCTGTTAAGGCGTTTCATGCTGACAGTAGGAAGTGCAGGCAGAAACAGGATGGTATAAGGGTTCGATTTCGGCGGTTCACTTACAGTTTGAATAGTTGAGGATGAGGATGTCCTCATGTTCCTTCTCTTCGCCTTGCGGCTCAGTACAGGTTGGAAACCGTCATCTGAGAAGTCCTCACTGCTGAGATAGTAAGCATGAGTATCTTCACTGTCGCTGTCACTCGCTTGTCCCATCCGCTTCCTGGAGGCGGCCGCCGCTGACGCCGCTGGTGCCGGCAGGCGCCCGGGGTGGTCTACATCCATCCCCTCCAAGGGAGCAGCGAAAACTGATCAACAGACTTAAATTACAACTGAAATATGCCGGAGTTAGCAGAAGTAGCTGCTATTCAAAACACACTTCTTCCATGGTATGATCAAAGTCCCTATAGATGTTCTCAGGTGTGGTCGCTCATTCGTGGGCGCGTTTATCTCGGGATTCGGGTGATTCGTACCTCTTGTGCTGCCACCGCAAGTCTGTTTTGAAGTTACAGTGGTTAAAAAAATTGGCAGATCCCACGTACGGTGGGAATCGATGATATGCGAAGCACGAGTGAGAAAGAATGATAGGTCACTTTAAAATCAGAACAACGTTTTGAGGTGGATGTAAATTATGCCATAGCTGACTTCCATGTCATGATTATCAGGTTCGGATGTGTTATTTACCTTGTCGTCTATTCACGTCACGTGACACTAAGTTTTGTTAATGGGAACTAGCAAAACAGTCGTGAGCACGCTATGAGCGTAGCATGTAGGCAATTTTTACATGACACGCATGTCATAATTATTATGTTTGGACGTGTCATTTACATTCGTCATCTATTCACGCCATGTCATACTAAATTTGGTATATGTGGAGCTAGTGAAACGGTCGAGAGTGCGCTATGAGCGTAGCATGTAGTCATGTTTTACATGACACGCATATCATGATTATTCTGTCTAGGCGTGTCATTTACCTTCATCGTCTATTCATGTTACTTGATACCAAATTTGTTATATGTGGAGCTAGCGGTACAGCCGCGAGCGTGCTATGAGCGCAGCATAGAGTCACGTTTTACATGAGATGCCTGTCATGATTATCGTAATGAGGGCGTGGTGGCCCTATTATGGCACTGTTTGCACTGAACTTTAGAGTTACGTGCATTTAGTTGAAACACTATTACAACAACTAGGAAGCCCCAACCATGCGTGCAGATGTTCGGAGCACTGAAAAAAGAAAAAGAAAAAAAAAACAAAGGTGGTCTGATTGAGAGAAATTATGAAGCCATTAAATTTAAGCAATCTTTGTAACGACCTCGCTGATGTCATAAAATTATTTATTTATTTACTGATATACTCTAAGGGCCCATGTGGGCATTACATAGGGGGGTGTTAGTTACAATACTGAAGCGTTATGTTCCCAATAGAAATGCTTACACAGAACATGAAAAATATAAAGGTAAATGCGAAAAGCAAAAGTTCATATAAACGAAAACATAGTAATGCAATGCAGCACTCGGTAAGGCATGATACGAGGGATGCGATAACTGATGTAATACAGGCACTAGACTAAGCAAAAGAAAGCTACAAAATCTTACAGTTTTACATTCCACATCTCCTTTAATTTGCTAACGAACGTGTCGTAATCACGCACAGTTACAACATCACTTGTCAGTTTATTCCAATAATAATCGCAACAAAACATACGCAAAAAAGAAATTAAGTACTCTCGCCTCCGCTATGCGTGGCAGTCGCCACAGTAAAGCACTTTCAACGGGTCGCCGTCAAAAGCAGGATTACACATACAAGTCGAGCCGAGTATTCTGTGCGTTTGCGTCATTATTTCGTATATACAACAGTGATATTAGCTAAGCATTTAAACAGAGTTTTTAGGTCGGAATAATGAAATATATTTAAGAAACTAAAAGAAAAATAAAGAAAAGAAACTGGCCAAAAGGCAGCCAACTTGAGTCAAGTGTAGTAAAGTATCCAAAAGTATACCAACATGTGTGTGAAAATAACTGCTACGTTTTATTTAACTGACCGAATACAAGAAACATTTTGTGGACATGCAAATGACTACAGGTAGAACCCTTCAAGCTCTCAATTTACTGAAATTAAAGCATAAATAAGTGACTGCTAACACTTTTGTGCAGGATGACGAGGCGTCTGGTGCTACTGAAAAAAAATGACACTTTTTTTTTCATGAGTCTTGCGTGACTTTTCATAAACTGACCATAGGTATACCAGCCTTGGGGAGTGAATAAAACTGAGTACTGCATGAGTGCACTTCGGTATCGCAGTTGCTGTTATCGATGCTTAGACTAATGTATTGATATATCTGAATATCTGCAGTTTTACTTTTTAAAATCACAAGATGCTTTCCAGAGTTGCCGTAGTGGAGGGCTCCGGAAATTCAGACCACCTGGTGTTTTTTAACCTGCACCACGGACATCGCACAGTACACGAGTCTCTACCATTTCGCATCCATTGAAATGCGACCACCATGGACGGGTTCGAACCCGCGACATTCTGGACGCAGCGGAACACCGTATAGTCACTGTTCCAGTGAGGCGGATCGAAGCTTAAGCTGAAATTTCCCAATCGGTTCTCGCATGACGGCGAAATCTGAGCGTTTAATATTGTCGAGTAGCAGCACGTAACTAGTGCCGAAAAACAAAACATAGTAGATCGCTAGTACGATTTCTAGATGATATATGCATTCTAGCACAGAATAGGGCATTCGGAACACTTCCGACTGTCCTGTTCATATACAATTATATTAAAGTCACGTCGGGGTGTCAACATTGTCCTTGTACACTTTTGTGTTGAGCGGCCATTCTTCTAGCAACTGTTTGTACGTAACCAGAAATGTGTTTAAATTCTTCTAGTGTATACAATGTCTTGCGGCACAGGGTGTAAAAACAAGCTCGATCCATTTCCGTTCAAGTTCGCATGTGAGGAACCGTTAGGCGCGCTGACTCTGAGCCTCTGCAAGAGTCGGACGAGAATATAGAACATGTCGGCGTGAGCTAGCTTCTCTCCTGGGCAGCTTCGGGCTCCCTGGCCGAAGGTGATCAAAGGACCGGTGTCAGTGCGCACTTTGCCCGTCACAGGATCCAGGAACCGTTCTGGACGGAACTCCTCGGGTTTCTCCCAGTTCTCTGGGTCATGGTGCACGGCGTAGATGTTGTACAGCATGCCCGTGTCCTTGGGTATGTCCCACTTTCCTGCGAAACCCGGCATACTTGTTAAAGCGCTTGGCTATCTGCTGTCTCGTTCTGGCATGACTCGACAGGCCCACTATAATCACTAGAGCTGCATAAGCCTCGGTACGCGTGTCGTTTATTCTACGCAATGCAGCGTGCTCCCATATAAGCACCACCACACACACGAATATCATTCAGAATATTACAAGTGCCTGTAACTGCTTCAACAGTTGCTATCAGACAGGTCCTGTAGTTGCTTTCAATGGTTGAGTTCGTGGTAGGTTTACGTCTATGCGGATGTAACGAAATGCGCTGTAGTTTAGCTACCAAGATGAGTTAGAACGTGTTCACCGGCAATTAGTCATCTACAACATGTAATGATGTGCCATGGGAACAGTGAAGGCGTCATCATATTGAGTGTCACAGAATTACTTTTTTTTTCTGTCGCCGTGGTGGTAGCACTAAACACTTCATGCTTAACATATTGATTTCCTGACGTAAGTGCAATAACGAGAAATGCGGTGAATTGTTGGCGAATTGGTGAGATGGTGAATGTAAGCTGCAGAAAGTTTTCGTTAAAGTTCTTGCATTCAAATATAGCTATTTTATAAAGCCAATAATGAGATATATATTATTAGTGATGGTAATAGTCTTACTCCAAATGAACGTTATGGGTGAAAAAGCTTTGGGAACCTGGTCCTAGAAGAGTTTTGAATACGGCATTCAATCCTCAAGACAAATATTACAAGAGAAAGTCAATAGAAAACAAAAAGGTTTTTAGGGACGAAGCTCCTTATAGTGGAGCCATGTCTGCAGTGATCTATAGATGACGATGACGACGGAGCACAAGCGCGTTGCGCACCACACATTACTTTCTACCAGAATGGCACAGCACATGCACAGTACTCGCTATACGTCATGACGAAGATGCTGACAATAAAACACCCACCATGCCTCTATGCAATTCATGATTGTGCCGATGAGCGAGGCAACCGCTACACATTACACAGCCATTATGTTTACGTCGTGCTGTGGCTGATGACGGTGAAGAATAAGCGCGTTCCAAACAGCACATTATCTTTTGTCATGGAAACGAACGTGAATGCGCTGTCGCCTGCGAAGCTGGCACGCCACGGGAATGTTGGCAAGCTGATCCAGGCTGGCGACTTGAATTTAGATATCATGAACTGGCTTGTGCAGCATATAACATCGCGATATGCTCTGAGATGCATTTCATATGGCTACAAACAACCAAGCACAACCATGGAGACGTGTATATACCTCGTCTAGGCGAACTTCAGCTTACATTCTATCCAAAGAACTCTTGGTTCATCGTTTTAGTGATCGTAAGGCAGTCTCACTGAAGGGAAAACGAAGTGCCCACCACAATAAAACCAATGAAACAACATTGTATATACTGTATAGACGGGTTGTTGCTCATTTGCATGTTCGAGTAGGCAGTGTTTAGTGGATTAACAGTTACCCGAATAATCCCCTGGAGCTTCGCCCACTCGTCATGATTGACTTCATTGATATGCTGTGATTTTTTTTTTTCATTTTTTATTCGCTATTTGCTAATTTGTCTGATTAAACTAGCACTCACCGACTCGAGTGCCAGTGGTTGTGTTATGAGGTAATCCAAGGGGCGCCGCGGGGTGCATCCTCAGCGTCTCCAGCAGGCAAGCCACGGTGAAAGGAAGCTTCTCACGGTCTCCGTACACAGGTGGCACGCTCCCTTAGCACATACAAATTGAAAGGATTTGTGGATAAGCCAACATACGTATGGTGCACCCAAGCGGGTAAAATTACTACGAGGTCACTGTGAGCAGACACAACCAGCTTCAGTGGTGGCGTCTCAATACGCAAATAGCATTTTGGATAGCTTGGTGACGGATTTAAGCGGGGGATTAGGATTTACTTACGAGTGTGCCTATTCATGTGCGCTCCTACGGTTGCGCAAACGGGACTTGCACATACAGCGAAAAGTCACGTGTGTATAGCATATTACACTTTCAAGAGCGCAGAACGTTATGCACACGATTGCCATCATGTAACTACGGAGTGTCATGGTTTCAATCAATCAATCAATCAATCAATCAATCAATCAATCAATCAATCAATCAATCAATCAATCAATCAATCAATCAATCAATCAATCAATCAATCAATCAATCAATCAATCAATCAATCAATCAATCTTTATGAAGAGACAAGGCTATTGCGATGTCACAGGGGTGCATAAGGACACTGTTAAAGTGATAGCTGCAAGTAATATGAAAACTGCCATTGCCTCCGAGAAGGCACATAGACGATGCATAGACGACACATAGACGATGAACGCGTGAGTGATTGAACGTGACGCAGCAGAAGCTTTTTTGATAGGAGGGGTTGACAATATGGCTTAGGTGTGGATAACGCCGATGCGATTTCTAGCAACTGGGGTCTGCGGGCCTCAACTATGGTTTGACTGAGAACTGAGGAGAAGTTATTGAGATGAAAAGAAGGAAAGAACTGGTCGGAGAGTTCTCTTACCAATGTTGTCTTCTATTTCTTTTTGGATCCTAGTTTGAATGCTGGGTTCTTTTGTCATGTGTAGCAGAAGCCACTGCAGTGTGCCTGTAGATGTATCGGATCCAGCTAGGAAGAACCATAAGTTGGCATATGAAAGGTACTTAGCGCAGCTTGGTACTCCCTCAGAAAACATTCTCATGGTCATGTATGAATTCACTCAAAATACACATCCCCCCCCCCCCCCCACACACACACACACATTGCTTATTGAAGACAGTTAATTCACTGTCGGGTACGCATATCGAAAGTAATGTTTTTTGCGAAGTACAAATAAATTATACAATTAAAACATGAAGTCTTGAAGACATCAAAAGCTGCTATTTCAACACGAACGCCAATGATAGATGCTCACTAAATGAGTTACAACAATATTTAAAGTACTTGAGAATATGACGCTGTGTTGTTTTGCACTGATGACGCTAGTTACACTACTGATTACACTACTGATACCGTAAGAAGCAGTAATAGCCCAGAAGAATCCGACATCCTACCAGTAACGACCGGGGAAGTAACAAAATCTCTAAAAGGAATTCAAAGAGGCAAAGTCACCTGTGAAAATAACGTAACAATAGACCCGCTAAAAGATGGCAGAGAGATTCGTTTAGAGAAACTGGCCACGTTTAAATAAGAAGTGTCTCTTGATGAGAGAGGCACCAGAACCTTAGAAAAACGCGAACATCATCTCAATTCATAAGAAAAGAGACGTCAAGGACCTCAAAAATACAGGCCTATCAGCTTATTGTCCGTTCTCTACAAGGTATTTACAAAAATAATAGACAATAGAATTAGGACGGCACTGGATTTCAATCAACCAAAAGATCAAGCAGAATTTCGCGCAGGCAACTCCACAATAGACCACATTCATACTATCAATCAGGTGATAGAGAAATGCGCAGTGTACAACCAACCCTATCTTCATAGATAGTAAGCAGGTGTTTGACTCAGTCGAGACATCAGCAGTGATGCAGAAATTAAGGGCATTGACGGGCCCTACATAAATAAATATATTGGAAGAAATGTACAGTGGATCTACAGCCATTATAATCCTCCATAAAAAAGCGACAGAATTCCAATAAAGAAGAGTGTAAGGCAGGGAAACACAATCTCACCAATGCTATTCACCACGTGTTTACAAAATGTATCCAGGGCCCTAGATTGGGAAGAGTTAGGGACGACTGTAGCATTAATGAACTGTGGAATACGTTTGAAGTGAAATTGGATGAGCTTGTAAAGGAACATATACCACACGTACATTTTTCAAAGTTTAAAAAACGAAAAAAACCTTGGGTAACATCATCCATTACACGAATTATACAAAAAAGAAAACGAATTTTTGCGAAGTATAAGAAAACAAAGAGCAAGGCTCATTATGAGAGATTGGCACAAATAACGCTTGCTTACAAGCTCACTACTAAGATCGCAAAAGAAAATTATTTCAAGGAACTTAATGAAAGGTTGAAAACCAATCCTAAGGCTCTTTGAAGCATTTAAAGGTGTGTGGATCAAGTTATTTGGGCATTCCAGAAATCATTTGCAATAACCAAATCGTAACGAACGACAAAGCAAAGGCAACATATCTAAATTACTTCTTTCATTCAGCATTTCTTCCAGCAAAACCCGACACTATAATGACAGCGGCTAGCAATGTGTCGCCTATGACGCAGGTGGAACACGGCGTGTCTGGTATCAAAAAGTTATTGGAGCGATTGGACGAAACCAAGGCAGTTGGCCCTGACGGTATTTCACCTCGTGTGTTAAAGCACTGTGCTGCGACTGTCTCCCTTTATCTTTTAGTTATCTTAACGCAGTCACTTCGTGCTACAGAATCACCTGGAAGATAGCCCACGTTGTGCCAATTCATAAAGGGGACTCGAAAAAAGATGTGCAGAATTATAGGCCCGTCTCCCTGACATGTATTGTATGCAAATCAAAGGAACATATAATTTACTCAGCCATCATGAGTCAGCTCACCGAGAACAATATCGTAATTAAAGTACAGTATGGTTTCCGCAAGGGCTTGTCGTGCACTACACAACTTGTAGAATTCTATCACGAATTAGGGAGTGAAATTGATGCTGAGGGCCAGATAGATTTTTTGTTTTTAGATTTTCGAAAAGATTTGAACACGGTTACGCATTTGCTTCTTATTTACAAACTACAGCTAATAGGTATACATAGAAATGCTGTCATGGGGATTGAAAGTTTCTTATCGGAGCGCAGACAGTGTGTTGTTATTAATGGCAAAAAATCAAGATTCGTAAACGTCACCTCAGGAGTTTCTCGAAGCTCTGCATTGGGACCTTTATTATTTTTTATATACATAAATGATATAAATTTAGGTATTACGTCCTCCTCGCGACTGTTCGCAGATGACTGCGTGGCGTATCGAAGTATATCTTACGACGAAGATGCGACGGCGTTACAGGAAGACTTGAACAGAATAAATGATTGGTGTAAGCAGTGGAACATGTGTTTAAACGTGAATAAGTGCATCCATATGTGTTCTACTAGAAAAAAAACTAATGATAAATAGCTATTCTATAAATAGGGAGGTTCTTACCACAGTTAGTGTCTCTAAGTACCTAGGCGTTGTGTTTTCTGCTGACTGCTCATAGAATGAGCACATCAGTGAGACAGTTGGTAAGGCTGGACGGGCGCTGAACTTTGTTCAACGAAACCTAAGATGTCGCGAAGTTGAATTAAAACGGAGTGCATTTACTACATGTGTTAGACCTATATCATAGTACTCCTGCCAACTATGGGATCCATCGGAAGCCTGTCTCATTTCTCATATAGAAGGTATCCAAAACACAGCAGCCAAGTACGTACTGGGCAGGCACCGTAGAATGGACAGTGTCACATTGATGAAAAAAGAATTGAATTGGGAATTGTTGTCTTCACGAAGACGGAAGTTAAGGCTAAAACTGTTTTGTCAAATATATAACAACAAAGTAGGCGTAAACAAAGATAAATATTTAAATAAAACCTTTTATGTTTCTATGTGTAATGATCACAAACACAAAAATCCGTGAATACCGGCCCAGGACGTGCTTGTTCGCGAATTCTTTTTTTTTCCGTAGTGTGTAGCCGAATGGAACAAGCTCTCTGAATAACAAGTCTGTTGTGTAAATAAAAATATATTTGTATCTCTGTTGTAACCCCCCTGCTGTAACGCCCAAGGGCGATTCGGAGTAATTCTTCAATAAAGAAAAAAAAGCTATAATTGAAAGTAAGTTCAGTAACCTGTGATTCGAAGACGACGTTGCTTTGATAAGTACCTCAGGGGACGAATAACTGCTCATAATTATTGAAAGGCACACGCAAAGCAGAAAGGTAGGCATGAAAATTAATATGTATTAAACTAAAGTAATGTGCAACAGTATCGCCAGAAAACGGCCCTTGTGATAAGCGAAGAGTTGTTAGAAGTAGTAAAGGAATATGTTCACTTAGGACAGGTAGTAACAGCGGAGCCGAACCACGAGACTGATGTAACTAGAAGAATAAGAATGGGGCGGAGCCCATTCGGCAAACATTCTCAAATCATGACTGGTAATCTGCCACTAACCCTCAAGATGAAGGTATATAACAGCTGCATCTTGCCGGTACTTAGATACGGAGCAGAAACCTGGAGACTTACAAAGAGGGTTCAACTTAAATTGAGCACGACGCAGTGAGCGACGGAAAGAAAAATGATAGGCGTAACCTTAAGAGACCAGAAGAGAGCAGAGTGGGCCAGGGAAGAAATCGGGGTTAAGGATATCATAACTGAAATCAAGAAGAAGCAATTGACATGGAACGGACACATGGCGAGTAGGCAGGATAATAGCTGGTCATTAAGGGTAACTGGCTGGATTCCTAGAGAAGCCAAACAAGTGAGGTGGAGACAAAGTTACGTGGGCTGATGAGATTTAAAAAAGTTGACAGTAATAAAGAGGAAGCAGAAAGCACAACACAGGGTTGATTGGCAGATAATGGGAGAGGCCTTTGCCCTGCAGTGAGCACAGTCAGGCTGAGGATGACGATGATAATGATGATGCTGGTGTTTAAGTAGCGGATGTTTGCTCCGGCCGAAAGGCTTCCGCACGGCAATGCGATTAGTGGAGTTAAAAGCCCCACCCTGTCTTTTGCACCGGCTAGGTCAAGTAGTGGAAACTCGTATGCTCCCTTAGCGTTGACACTGGTCCCCCAGATAGCTGAAGCCAAAGTGCCGCCATGATGTTTCTGCAGTTGATGCACCCGCCTATACCCAGCCTCATGCCTACCCGTCACTCGAGAAAACACACAACAGCTCGTAGACTGTCTCCGAAACCCTCCTGCCGGCGGCACACGTAAATAAGGAGCGGTCGTGATTTTGCTTTAGTGGAGTTTTGGTGTACATCGCTTTCGGTAACTACACGCATTAAGGGATGTAGTAAGGCGCGTTGGGAATAAATGGGTGCTGCGGGGAAATAGCCGTGAATGAGTGGTGCGTGCGCGGGCATTGCAACTGCGTGCGTGAATGCGCGTCACCCGATGGAAGCCCCTTATTGTGTGCTTTGTGAACCTTTGTGTGATACACCAAAAATATTCTTCCGTCATAAGGCTATGACGCCGACAAGGTAAAAACGCGAGCCAGTGAACCGAACGAATGTGAGTGCCAGTCATTGAGCTTTGTGTGGAGTTAAGCTCGCTTGTTCTGCCTAAAGTGACTCAAACGCCTTCCTCTAAAGTCAGACCCGTGTGAACGCTGGAGACTGGTCATTCTGATTGATTAATCTCAATGTTAGGTAATGCAAAGCTCGAACATGTCTGTTGTACGGCTGCTTTTTTGGACGTTGGTATAGCGTTGACGAATGCCCTCCTTCGCGTCTGCTGTCGCTTTTGGCTGGATATTTATTTAATCTCTACGACAGACGCAGCTATTATACTCTAAAGCGATGTTTATATGTGTCGTAGACAGAAAAAAAAATTACGGCATATTCACGGGGTGAATGATGATGAATGGGCGAAGCTCCGGAGGGATTCATCGGTAAACTGTGAATCTTCCGTGTAATTCGCCCAGTCGATCATCATGAAAGACGTGAGAAACGCTGTGTGTGTATATACACAAATCAACTTTTATTTGTTCTTGGACGATGGATGGCTTGCGATGTCCCTTGCCTCGCGCGCTCGCACATCGGGATTCTGTCTGCGAGCGCGCGCTGCTGCCGCCTTGCGCTCTCTTCGCTGTGCAGCCTTATCCATCCGGCGACTCCGAGCGCGCGCCAACAGCGAACGGATTTTATTACAACGCTCCCCCTAGCGTACGTCGCCGCACTAAATCGAACGATTGCCTTCAACCAATGACACGCGCCATATGTGACATCATTCCTATTTTATAAGATCTCGCGTCTTTCATCAACTACAAGTACCGCTTTCTAGTTTATAACATCTTGCATCTTTTCATCATCAGCTACAAGTACCACCATCTAGTAAACACTACAAGAACTAAACGAGAGGTGGCTACATACAGGAGACGGTACCGCCATCTAGTGAACACTGCAAGAACTAAACTAGAGGTGGCTACATACAGGCTACAGGGGACGCACAGCCCACGCCCTAAGGAGCTTCGCCCCTAAAAAATGATTCCGCTACTCACCACTCTGGTTCGCTAAAAATTAAGAAAGCAACACGCGTCTGGAAATTCATGCTTTGCCGGAAGATATATAGGTGGCGTGGCAGAAGACAAGGAATCTATCTTTAGGAAGGGGCTTTGAGTTGTAGAGTGAGAGTTTTAAAGAAAGAAAGTGGCATCTTCACAAGCAGCACTGTCAGTCGATTTGACCCGAAAGCCAAAAATGATTTGGTTTGGTTCGGGAAAATGTTATTCTGAAAGTTTGAAGGCGTGTGTCCTAGCACACGGTGGGCCACCGTCCACGATGGGTCACTAAGTCCGAGACCTACCGCCGCATCATGGGCCCTCTGGACAGCGAAGTTGTGATGTTTTCAATATAAACATCGAGTCGCAGTCAAATAAACTAGGCACAATTATTTGAGTTTGTTGTGGTCTATATGAAAAGCGGTAATAGGAGAAAAGTGTCTAGACAGTACATATTGGTCATTCCATCCCATCAACTTTCGAACATCTTCGATCATGCTGAAGGAATATTGCAGGTATATTGGAATGTGAGTAGCAGTTATTTAACCGTTATATCTCGCGAAAAATATTGTGTTGCCAAGAGGACGCTTGAAACTTTGGGCACCCAAGTGAAGCTGTGTGACGCTAAATAATTTTGTAATATTACGGCTCTAAGCAATTACATTAAGACACTCTTTACCCTATTATCAAGTCACTTATCTTTCATGAATGTGATAGTTTATTCATTTATGTTTTAACTTTACCTTTCTCCTTAAAGAAAATTTTGATTCTTAGTGATTAATTGTAGTCGAACGCTCTCGCGTCATCGGGATCATTTCCAAAATGTCCACTCATGGCGCACGTCGTGTGAAACATTTAGCTTAGTTTCTCGTTGAGTTGGCCACTGGTGTTGATAATATATCTATTTTAGGCGTTGTCATACATTGAGCGTTCACTCTCACATAAGTTGTTATTTACCTTTAGTACCTTTTTAGCGTTTTATAGCATTTCAGCAATTCGCAGACAGGGGCAATAAAAAACTTGAAAATTCTGGCACGAAAGCGGCTACCAGAAGAAAATAATATTATAAGACATAAATACTAGGCATGTCGGACGAAAAACACATGTAATAGGAACTAGCTGTTGTTTTGCCTACCATTAAGGAGGTTCATTGTAACGAGGATCATGTTGTCTTTGGTCAAGTACTGCGCATCAGCTCTGTCCTCCTTGATGGCTTCCTCTCGGGCGGCCAAGATGGCGTGCGTGAAGTTCTCCGTCTTACCTGTAGAAGAGCAATACGACACTGCAGTTTGGATGCGACTGCGTGATCCAAAATATCACGCTGTGGCTATTTTCGTAGCTAACATCATTTAAGATTGACGTATCTGTGAGGAAAGTATTGTTTGACTAGTGACAAGGCACATTGTAGAAATTGTGATTCTTGTCGAAAGAAACTTTTACGAAAGCTAAATTGCTTGGATGAACAACCCTCATCAATAGTAAAAATCTTGGGCCCGTATTCAAGAGAGGATTTCAGAACATTTCTGCACGCACTGTAGTACGATTTTTAGAAAAAAAAAATGGAAATATCACAAAAGTAGTAATCTGGCAAAAAGATTGTTCGCGTTATTTCTAACTGACATGCTTGGCTACATGAATCTTGTATTTTCGTTTTAGCAGGAATTCTTTGCGAAAAAAAAAAATAGTTTCAGCTTCTGTGCAGACAATTCCCTAGTGACATATGATTGGCTACGAGAACATATCAGTGAACTTTTACGTTATGTGAGAACATTTAAATGGCGCAAATACTACTGTTTTGACCATTTTTGTATTGAAGAACTTGGACGGAGGGGGGGGGGGGGGGGTGTACGAATGTTGTAGTGTTTGCTTTCGTCACTGTGGCAACTATTGTACAATGGACGAGGAGTAACTCGGGCTACTGGCAGCAGTGTTTTTTTATATACATTTACTAATAAAAAACTTAAAAGCTAATCGGGAAAGCAATTATAGCTGAATTATACATGTTTTGCTATCTATCTAGAAGGGGACGGCCACAGAGAAACGAGAAGTGATATTTTCGTAAATGTCAAAAACTTGTTCGATTGTTGCCGTTTCTACTCACAATAAAGCCTTTCAGCTTTGCATTAGCCGAGAAAAACTAGGAAAATAAGAAAAGGAACTAAACAAGACAGGCAGATTGGGTGAACTGGTGAAGTGTCGTTGTAGAAATATAAAACGGAGCTTTTTTTTTTTTTAACACAAGACGAAGGAAAGATGACACACACGGGAACACACAAGTTCAGCGCCGTGTGTGTCTCATATTTCTTTCGTCTTGGTTTTTTTAGAAAGCTCTGTTTCATATTCTTACCAAAGAAAAAAAAACGTCATAAAGAAAAGAAATGTTCATGTTGGGGCAGACAGTAATATCAGCTTATATACCTTCTAATCTCAACACTGTTACCTCCATGGTGTTCAATGCAATAGACGTGCCGTAATAAAAAGTTAAACCCCTTTCTAGAATATTCAACCAAATACTAGAAGCAAGTATATATCTGGTGATTTCCCCCGGTCGGGTTTATAAGCACTACAACAAGTATATTGTGTCGGTATCACAATGGTGAAGACGCGTAATTCAGAAATATGGAACTTTTTATTTGGTCGAACTCGGGGCCAGAAAACGGAGGGCCAATCTGCAGGCAGTGATGCACGCCATACGTACACTGATATAGGCGAACTGAGCGTTAGCCGTCGTTAAACTGACAAGTTGTAAAGAGCGTCGGTTACTATATAGGTGGTATCGAAATATTCCAGCGTTATCGAAGGCGGCCATGTAAGCTCTGAGAATAGCATGGCTGTTCAGATTTGGGTGCACGTTAAAGAACCCCAGGTGGTCGAAATTTGCGGAGCCCTCCACCACGGCGTCTCTCATAATCATAAGGTGGTTTTGGGACGTTAAACCCCACATATAAATCAATCAAGCTTGGCTGTTGGCGTCCTGCGCATAGTCTTAACAGAACAATCTATTACAATCTCGAAGTTTCTCGAACGCTGAGACGTGGTCTACGCCCAGCTTTGTTGACGGTCTTTGTGGGTGTAAACCGAATACAGCAAACTTCGAACAAGAAGCATGCGTGGTAATACACTGCCTATGACACCTGTGTGTGTACCTGGACTGTAGGTCTCTTCGGCTTTCGAGAACAGCCTTCGTATGACTTCTCCGAGCTCACTGAACAACGCCGCCATCCTCTTCTCTTTCTTGTAATACAGAACGGCAAGAAAAGGAGCGATGTCGCTGGGCAGGCCATTGGGCGAAATTTCGTAGAACCGGCGGTTGAAGTCTTCCAAGCGTTCGATATCCTCTTTTTCCTCGTACAGCCTGCATAGGAAAGGGTGGCATGAGCGTTATCTAGGCGAATGCCTTCGATGTCTCATAAAGTGCGAAGACTGACTGTCGGTGGCGTGGACGTCAGCAAAAAGTGATGCGAAAATTGATGTGACGTGAACATGACGGCACAGAACTGCGAAATTTGTGAGGTCATCATGCATTCACACAATAACGCCATCACATGGCACAGTCTCTTAGTAGGCCGGTCCCAGAGACACGAGAAAACCACGTGACGTGGAAAAAAAATTGCAAGGCCTTGGACCCCGGCGGCATTGCTAAAGACATTTTGTGCAGAAAGTTTCCGATTAGGGGGTGGGGAGATACCAAGACAACTGACTGAGCAGAAAGACAAGATAGTGTTCGTCTTCTAGTCATCTTACTTGAAAGCAGAAAGGACCACCTGACTTTTTTAAAGATGATAGTCTTTCTTGGGGACCTCCAACGCAAATATTTTGGTTTGTTTGTCTCTTTGTGTGTTTAGAAAAAGTTGTTAACAATTTAGAGTACGAGGTACTTCTACTATGGAGAGCATAAAGCTTTCCCGTATTCATACTTGGGACAAGCACACTTTATCAGCAATAAAGACTCTTTGTTCACCTTTAACGGTACCCTAAACGGCACCTAACTGGCCAAACGATACTCCAGACAGCCGAACCCATCCGCAGCGCCCACCAATATTGTTCAAGATTCAGCCTTCATACTTGTGCAATGGTCAATTAAAAAGCAAATATTGTGCATATCTGAGGCACTATAACAACACGTCGATATTAAGTATGTGTATTTTTTTACTAGAAAAGGCATACATAAGTAATTTTAAGAATCGTAGCCTTTATAACAGCTGCGCTGGGCATGCAACGCTTGCACGAAACGGCAAGTGTTTCCAATGCTTTCCTAACACGACACGATGGTGGCACCTACCCGTCGTCTTGCGTTCTACACCTTATCACCTAAGAGACAGGCGCGCACGGCGCGCGACCCGTTTTCCAGGATAACTGCGAGATAGCGCTCATGTCTCACGTGTGACGTCACTTGAATGAGCTCGTTCGCCTCCGCTGCACGCTCGAGGTACTCTAATGCAGCGCTTCCAGAATACCATTCACCAATTTCTTGCGCTGAACATCAAATAAACGTTTTGTTCACTTTCTCCAGTCGCAAGGACTATCGTCTTTCGACGACATTTGCAGAGTAACACGCAGATACGGGGCCATTTTTTATTGTTGACACTGAATTAATCACTGGCTCGAATATATGGGAGAAATCGAGAAGGAACGCGAAGTAATTACACATGGCCGCCCCCACGCTGCATGCTGAGTATGTAGCTCACCCCTTCAACATTGACATCACAGTGTTTGCTTTGTTTCGGTCTTCACCGTTATGCGCATGATAATTCGATTAACTTCAATGACATACAAGACAGCAAGTTTTGTTTACGATGCTTTACAAGTTCCGCAGCAGGGCCAGAGTTAACAGTTGGATTTCACGAAAGCAGTCTAGTTCATGAAGGGAACATATGACGGGTGGTGATTAAACGAAACCAGTCAAGAAAAATTCTCGTTGTTGCAATAAACAGTCGGTACATACTGCACAGACTAGTTGAAGTTTCAGTGGACGTCTGTAGTTTGAAAACGTTATAAATGCACATCAGTATTTTGTGACGGCAGCACTGATGGACTCCTTTCAAGCAAAGGTAATTATCTGCGTTTGGGGACGTTGTTAGAAAAAAAGTCAACTGTATTTGTTTCACTTTACTTTGCAATTAGACAGTAGTGTTGTACAAAAATAGTCTGGCTTTGGCTAAATTGTGGCAGTTAGCTCGAACTTGATGCTCAAGCGTCGCTACGCTGAACATTGCTTATGTCAAGTATCGTTTTAACGCACAGGCTGTACGACTGTAAAAGGTCATCCGGAGGGTTACTCTTCACGCTGTCAGAAAGGGCGAGCAGTTTATGTTTTCTCGCTTTCGAGTGAGCTTGCAAGCAAATACAACTTCAAAAAAAAATAACATACCTTGTGCCGTATATAGATACTCCTATGATCTTGCAAAGGAGAGAAAAAATAGGTTTTCTCAGGTCCATGACCTGTGGTCCTTCTTTTAGGGAATCCGCAAATGCGTCAACAATATCGGTGCAGAGCTTTTCCAGAGACTTGCTGGCAGCATACTGTCTGCGATTCAATAATGTTGCTTTTATGAGCATGTTTCTACAGGTGTAGAAAAACATTTCACAAAAAAAAATTGGTTGTTCAAAATAACGAAAGACAAGGGCAAGAAGCCACCAATGATGAGAGGTGTGTAGAGAACCGAATATCAAGTATAATAGACGCGTTACGACCGCACCGGAATGACGCTTGCTCGGCCAAGTTATGTATTACTAGGGATAGACGCGACTGGCGAAAGTGGTTCGTCACCGGATTCGGCAGCAGCGGCTGCACAGAGATGCGCGCGCATACACTTTTCAACTGCGGCGTTGCGGCTATGGAAGAGTAATCAAGGATGAATTGAAAACTAGGCCTTTTATTATGTGCGTGCGATTACTACAAAATTAGTTTCTTTCCATGGACTGCACATCTGAAAATCAAACATTGTGCGACTTCATGTCAGCACCCAATTTCTTGGCAAATGCAATTTTAGTAGCAGCTCATTGTACGATTTTTTATAAGAACCTGATTTCATAAAAACCCGGCGTTTTCTTCGTTCCCAGCCCGTGCAGCGCACGGTTTATTCCATTGTTCTCGACAGGGAGACTTTCAGTTATGTTTTCAACAATCCCCACATCCTAACAAAATCCGGCATGGCTGAAGACGAACAACCCCGTCAGCGTCCTGTGCTCATAATATTCGATTCACTGATAACTAAGTGGTAGGCCAACGTTGTTAGGGTATTTTAGCAACTTCGTATTCACAGCATGTGGCTAGTCAGCAATATTTACATCTTGATGGCCCGCAAATTCAATTCGAAGGCTCTGCACTTGCGCGGAAGCGGGGGCGACAAATGTTGTGGCAAATGGGTTGGCGCAGTGGAGATTGCCCACTACAATATTTTTGACATAGATGGTACTTCCCGTCAAGAGAAGTGGCGTTACTCGACGTTGCCTTGTTAAATTATACCTCGTATTCGGCACAATAAGTTGGTGGTCTACAAGCAGAGATTTTTCAAACGACTGTAATAAAAATAAAGCAGTGCCGAGAGTGACCGGAATCGAATATGAAATATTTCCTGAATGCCTTTCTATTATTAAGCAGCACTGTTTTATAATAATTATAAGATCACTTACTAATTCTAACCTAACATCTTGAAATCTAACATGGGGAAGACTCTTCCCTGTGCACATAACTATCAGGAAAGTTAATAATATCTGAGCGTTTATGTCTCAAAACCACGATATGACTATGAGAGACGCCGCAGTGGAGGGCTCCGTTAATTTTCACCATCAGGTGTTTCTTAACGTGCACTTTCATCGCAGAGAACACGGGCCTTTGCATGCCATTTCACCTCCATCGAAATGCGACCATCACGGCTGGAATCGAACCCACGACCTTGGTGTCAGCAGCCGACCAACTTAGCCACTGATCCATGGTGGCAGACCGATCGGGAGAGCTCAAAGGATGGTTTATTGCTGGTATCGCAATCTGCTGCACTAAAAAAAATATTGCCAGACATTTATGCAAGTGTTGCCTTTGTAGATATATTTTTTTATCCGTATCTTCATATTTTTTGTATTCATGAATGTTCGTGAATTATCAGAAAATATTGGTATTTTGAACTGGTGCCCGTTTGATTTGAACGGTGGCGGCTGCATTTCCGGTGGAGGTGGAAATGTTGTAGGCCCGTGTACTCAGATTTGGGTGCACGTTAAAGAACCCCAAGTGGTCAAAATTTCCGGAGCCCTCCACTACGGCGTCTCTCATAATCAAATAGTGGTTCTGGACGTTAAACCCCACAAATAAAATCAACAATGTTTGATTTGAACGTCAAATCGAAAAGGGCGCTATTAGAAATGACAATGATGATGATGATAATGATGATGATGGTGATGATTATGATGACAATGAATAAGCGTTCATTTTCGAAACAGTGCAACAGTGTACCGAGGCAAGCCCACGTTCTATCCTAGGTGAAACGTCTCCTCCTTCTATGAAACCTCTGGCTTCCGCATGCCTCCTTGGTTGTTGAAAAGATGCATCGCTGTTGTTTCAGGTACTTGGAGACGAGCTCAACCTGCCTAATTTTGTTGAGATCCTCAGCCTGCTTGTCTGACGTGATAGTCTTTCACTGAGTGCGTGCCGAGATGCCATGGGCGATCGCGGATCAAGTTCGGCGAGGTTTCCGACACGCCACGCTTCGAACTAATGATATCCGTGAAACGGTGGATTTATTCCATGCGCCAGGATTGCGTGGAAGTAGATTGATCATAAAAATTTTAAGGTATTCGCATAATCACGCATTCTCTTACTCACATTATCCTGCGTTCGTCATTAATGTGGAAGGGCACTCGTTGTGACATTTTTGTACCAACAACGCCTTTATGCTTTCGTTTCTTTGTCCTTTTAGAAAGTCAAGCCACAGTTTTTAAAGCGTCACACGAGGTGTTTATAGGAAAAAAAAAGACAAAAGACACTAGTTGTCTAGACTAAATGGATCAGTAGTAGTTATACTTACCTCACCGCTGACAGTGCCACCTTCCGAAGAGCCTTACAACAGGGGTTGTAGTCTTCGAATACTATATCGTGGTTGCCTTGGTTTTGCAGGGCTCCTGGAACCAGAATAATGGCCAATTAAACTGACGTGAAAAGTCAGTCATTCAACAGCACACCCACAAATCTTGATTGGTAGGAGCACCCAAGCTCCTCGTTCAAGGAATATCAGCAGGCTTCGTGGCTTTTATGCATCACCGTCTGTGTAATGTTCTGTATATACTGCAAATAGATAACAGTCTCCCCGCTCATCGCATGTTCTAAGCGCGAGCGATACGAACGAAGGCGACACAAGCAAAGATGGAATGATTCTGCCATCTCGGTCACCCGAAGGGCACATGAAACAACATAGCCTCCCCGAGGAGACCGGCCGTTGATGGTTTTCAAGCTTAATTGAAACACCTCGCTCATCTTTCGTCGGTCGAAGGAGCTAGCAGAAGTGCCACTTGGGGGGAGGGCAGCAGCTGTGAACATGGATCATAAGGGTGCGGTCGCAGTCGGAGAGAGAAATAGATGAAAAGGAAAGCGCATAGTGATTAACCTGGTAGAGGTAACCGGTTCGGTGCTCTGCACATGGTCGGGAAATAAGGCTTGTAAAAAGGAGAAAACAAAAAATACATAAAAAGGACACACACGCACACGTGCTCAGATTTCGGTGCACGTTAAAGAACCCCAGGTGGTCGAAATTTGCGGAGCCCTCCACTACGACGTCTCTCATAATCATACGGTGGTTTTGGGACGTTAAACCCCACAAATCAATCAATCAATCAATCAACCAATCAATCAATCAATCAATCAATCAGTCTCTCTCAATCTCTCTCACACACACACACAAACACGCGCGTGCGCGCAGGGAGTTGCTAAAGCTGTTCCGAAGGCCACTTGAACGCAAAAAAGCCCAGTAGCGTTTGCACAGTCTTTTTTTTTTTGACACGTTAGGTCTGGTCGATGGTGAACGACTCATTCGTTCGAAAGAGTTCGGAATTTTTGTCGTGGCGAGCATAAGCTCAAAGAGGTGACACTCCATGTCAGGAATTTGTGACGCATGACTGGGTTTGAAAATGGCGCTTCCAGCAAGCCTCAGCTTTTTCGTTCTTGCAGGTTTTTCTGCACCAGTTTATTTTTACCCAGTACATATACGTGCGACAGAACTACTGAGCATCTTCAATGAAGTCGTAATAAACATTTATGCATAATATATGCAATAAATTGCGCTTAGCAGGTGTCTAAATTAAATAAATTTAAACCAGTTTTAATAAGTGAAAATAAGTAATTTCGTCAGTTTGTTCCATTGTTCATCCATTTTGTTTTTCACGTTCTCTTGTTTGGCTCGATCGGTTATCTTAAAGATTGAAATATCAAACACTAACAAAGTTACTGAATTCATTTCATTGCTTCTTATTCGCTCTGCCAATATCTTTTATTTCTGTTATTTCTGTAACCACACAACATTCAGAATATTGCCCCACTACTTCAAGTTTTCTTTTATTGCACTGAAGTGCTGCTGTGCGCAAACCACGCCGAATGACGGAGAACTATTGAGGTAATCTTAAAACCTTGCGACGGATTAAAACCTTGAATAACGCGAACATTACAGTTTCTTGAACTTACGTGGCCCCTAGCGATAACGCTTAAGCATTTGACGGCACATGTATAAATGCCGACATGCTTCATAACTTGTCAGATTATTAATGGCCGACGCTCTGTACGCCGCTATCAATGCCGGTGCACATTTTTGTAATCTGGCTTTCCGTTGATCGGTCACAAGTACGGCCAAATAAACAGCTTCATCTTGCACACACAGGCAGGTGGTTTTATCAGCGTCATGACCACGTGACAATATTATGAAGAACACTGATCACCTAAACTATTCTTAAACTTTGAATTCTTAAGCTTCATTTCTTAATATTCTTAAGCTGCATTTCCGATGAAGGCGGAAATGTTGTAGGCCCGTGTGCTCAGATTTGGGCGCACGTCAAAGAACCCCAGGTGGTCGAAATTTCCGGAGCCCTCCACTACAGCGTCTCTCATAATCATATCGTGGTTTTGGGACGTTAAATCCCACACATCAATCAATCAAGTTTTGAATAAAAACCGACGTTATGAAATATATCAAAAGAAAAAAAAGAAAACTGCAGCATCAAATTAAAGAGCTTCAGACCTTGGTATGTTGCACGCTGACTTGTGTTGTCAAGCATTGTACAAATTCTTGTTCAATGATAAAACATAGGCGAGAGCCTGCACTAGTTAAAATAAGTGATTTCTTACGATACTTCCCAGAATGTTTGAAATATAAGAAAAATACAATTAATGACTTCAATTTTACAGGAGTCGGCTGCAACAGATGAACTAATGTTCTGACTAAGACGTTACGTGTCAGTGTGCTTGCTAGTTTGAATGCTCACCTGATCTGGTTGGAAAGCGGCCGGCGAAGTCGTGCCGTCGCTGCACCAGTGCTTCCCGAATAACTGTGTAGCTGTTCAACATCACCATAGGCCTGTGGGCCATCCACAAGGTGAAGACGTCCCCATATGTCTTTGACCATTCGGTTGACTTTGCGTGCAGGTCGGTCACGTTGCGCAAAGCTGCGGGCAGCGGTGGACAGAATTGTGAGGGTACAAAAGCAGGGTTCATGGATAATGTCAAATTAAGAAAATCAAACCTAAGCACATGTTACGCTCATCGAAAACGCTAAAGCTTAAAACTGATTGGCCCTTTTAGACACTTTTTTGACGCAGTAACGATACGTTTTTATAAAAAAAATACGCCATATCCCGCGAAATGGAACCATGTGTAGAAGTGAATTCACGCTGGCGGCGGCATTGACCCTGGCACTCGTCGCAGTGTTGGGCAGGAGAGAAACCTAGGGAGGCGCAAGGTACGCAGTGGTGGACCGGTGTTTCCTATTGGAACATGCCAATCGCCGCTAATAGGCAATTAGAAACATAGGACTCTGATTGGACACAGGGACCCACAAACTAAATAAAGAATACACAGTTGCACTTTTCAGTTAACGTGCACGCTGCCAATTTTCATTGCTCAACAACGCACAGGAGAAATCTCCCACCGGCACTATCTTGGAGGTCAAGATCCAGTGCCTATATACATATACGGAGTGGCCAGTGAACGATTGTGCACCACGATCAGTCGTTTTTTTTTCCAATCAAGAAACTCGCTAGAAGACGCTGCCTGCATCGGCGTTGCGAGACGAGGGAAAGGAAAGCTTGGGAAAGGAGAGGGACGGGAGGGGACGTGTATGGGCAATGGGTGTGCCAACGCCATGGGAAAGAATGCCTAGAGGAGAAAGACGGGGGAGTGAGCATCGGTTTACAGATGCTGCCTGCGTCGGCGTTGCAAGGTGAGATAGGGGCGGGCGTAAGAGAGAAGAGGGTGGGGACGCGCATGGGCGATAGGGGTGTTCACGCCACTGGGAAGGATGCCTAGAGGAGCGAGAGGGGGATTGAGAGTGGTAGTTGGGAGCGGGGGAGGGGCGCGCATGCGCAGTTTAGGAGGGCGCGCCGCACATCAGATTGAGCTCGACCGCGAGAAGCTTCGCATCTGATAGAAATATTCTGTTGTAAATGTTAGTAAAGATTGGTTTTAGTAAAGTTCAGCGAGACCTTTTTTTTAAGGTAAGTATTTTGCGCAATACAAAAAGCCTCCAATAACGCTTGTAGAAAGCTGCTTAGGGAACAATCAGGTGTAACTTAAATGCACTGTTTAAGAACGATGAACGAACACACCGACCGTGGCGCGTCGTCCTTCGAAAAGTTTTCCTCAGCAAGAAGATGTTGCATACACTGATTCAGCGATAAGGCCTAAAGGAGCGTGGACAAGGCCCTTCCTTCGCAACAACACTATACTCCGCTAGAAAGCGGCGACAGGAGTGCACAGTTGCGCGTAGAGGCATGTTACTTGTAAAAAGCTCTTTTGGAAAGTCAGATTAGGACTTTGGGAATTGAAACATGGGCACGCTTTAGAAAACGTGCTATGTAAAAATAGAAATGACTTGCCTCGATCTAATACCTTCACTTAATTTACAAGATAGGTTGTCTTCACTATTTTTTAAAGATTAAAGTATGATACAATGATTCTTTCATAATAGTTACATTTCTATCTCTTCTTATATGCGCTTTTGAAGGCTCGAGTACCCAATAGAACAACACAAAATACTCAGCACCAAGACACTTACCCAGTAGGTTACCCACGAGTGGAAATGGGACGGGTCCCTTCGGGTACTTCGATACATGGTAGTAAAAGCGACCCAACAGGTACGTCACCGCGAAAACGATCGTAGTTGTGATCCATCGCCAATCCAAAGGGGAGGAGAAGTACCAAAGAGAGGTCATATCCGCGGTTCCAGACAATTTCCTTCCACTCGATTTTATTGGTTCACCACATGAAAAAAAGAGAAGACGCTCACGTTAGGCAATAGCACGTAAACAAGAGGCCTCGTTGAACTGCCTCGCAAGAAGAAGTATGCTCATTACGTACTTGAAAAAAACTGAGACTACAAAATTGTGCCAGCGTGAAGAAGCATGGACAGCCAATGTGATAATGAAGCAGTGAAATGCCTACTTGCATACACAGCAGCGAAAATGGCCTTAAATGACTCATGTTCGACTCTTCAGAATTCAAAAGGGGGCAAGAATACTCGGGATGTACTTATCTTCAACGTAAAACTTCTTTTGGAATAGTTGGTGCATGTTACAAGAAATTAGATGACGGAAAACCACCGCGGAAAAATATGCTAAAAGAAAGATCACTTTCCTTCTGTCTTCTTCCGCAGTGGTTTGCGTTGTCTAACTTTTTTGTATTATTTAGAATGGTGGCATTACATTTCACAAGCCGACTAAGCACTGAATGTTCAGTAAAGCAGACAACTGAGAGATTGTTTGAACACTTTGTAGATTGTATTTGTGAACAAGTGTTTGATAACTGTACCATTATCGCGGATTACTCTAATGAACGCGCTCTTTGAAAAAGTTTTTGATATTCACAGATTAGGGGATATTTGCTTGAATCAGCCATCCTTTGTCGCTCCTTCAGAAAGAGATAACGTTCTTATCAAATAAAAATGCACTTCTACTGCGCACGTAATAGAAGATGCACTTCTACTGCTGCTTCCCGTATAAAAAAGTATACTTAATTTATATGTGAGGTTTAGCGTCCCAAAAACACCATATGATTGTGAGAGACACTGAAGTGGAAGGCTCTGGAAGTTTAGACGATCTAGGATTTTTTAACGTGCACCCAAATCTGAGCACACGGGCCTACAGGCTACATGCATTTTCACCGCCATCGAAAATGCAGCCGCCACAGCCGGGATTCGATCCCGCGACCAGTGGGTCAGCAGCAGAGTACCTTATCTACTAGGCCACCGCGGTGAAGCTAAAAAGTTTACTTATAATACGGTTGATAGAAAAAATTAAAAAAATGAAGTTGTGTTTCGTAAGCCTTGTGATTCATCTCCACTTGCTTTTGATTCATTTTGGCGCTGTTTCCTCGCCAAGTATGAACCAACCAGCTGACACACTATTCTATAGATATATGTGACGCTAGATGTGGGAGACGTGAGCTGGCTCATACAACATGTCACTTCTTCATCAACCTTTACCATCAGTCACTGCCTTCCTACGTCACAGCATTCCCCTCGCGCGAAAGATGGCACCAGTTACAAATTACAACAAATTGAAAAAGATTAAACAAATTAATGCTCAAGTTTACAGTTTCACTAAATTTTCGAGGTCGAGGGAGCAGTCCGGTGAATTCTATAACAACTCTGGTGGGCGAGGTTGACTGTTGCGTTCCCGAGAGAGTGGGCCACGGAGTGGGCTACACATGAATATTGACAATACTGCTTGAACTCTTGTGATGACTGAGCAAGGTTTGAACGCCTTGTTGCATCGGCAGCTCGGATGACGTCGGGGTCGAAGTTTTCGTCGCGAATGGTGCGCTCTCGGTGCTTCTTGTTTGCGTGCTTTTTGATAGACTGTGACGGAGTGCCTGAGTGCTTACGGTATGCAAGCAGTGCTTTCGCGTCTTTCTCGGCGTTTTCTGTGGTGTCGCAGTTGGTGCAAAAGTAGGCATCGGGAGTGTCTCTGGCGACTTTACTTTGTGCGAGAAAGTCTGACGTCTTAGAATTGACTTTGGGTTAGAGATCTTATTTTCCGATGTTCTTCAATTGGTGAGTGTGCCTCCGTTCCATTTCGCGTTCGTCGATGCCTTCGTTGCAGTCTCTCTCGTTGTCGCATGAGTTTGTGGGCTTGGCTTTGCTTGCTTTGCTGATATTACTCCGTAGATGGCTGTGGTGGAGCCTCTTTTAGAATTAGGCATTCATTTCTTTCACCAGATGACGTGTCCTGCAGACAGCTGGTGCATTGTGAGCTGGTGTCTTGCTTATCTGGCATAGTTGGTGGTGCACCATAATCGCTAGCATGCCCTCCAGAGGCTTCGGTGAGGTGGTTCATTACGGACGCTTCTGAAAGACAACTGCGTACGAGGTTTGATATATGATATACATCTGAATTGGTTCGATTCTTGAATTGGTGAGCACTGCAAGAGGATACCACAAGTGACGTGGCATCACCAGGTTTCAACTGCAGATTTTGGCAAGCCTGCGGTGCCGTAGAAATGACAGGAAGCTCTTTGTAGACTCGAGCAACGCTTTTCTTATTGGATGCTTCTGGCACAGGGCAGTGCTTGAGAGTTGATCTTTCCAAGCCTCCAGTGTTGGTTGGACTCTCAAGTGGCTGGGAACTTGACGGCGACACCAACAAAGGCTTGATTTGGTCGGATTTTGCTTGGGACTGTTTCTCTGTGTCCGAAACTTTGGAGATCAGCTGTTCTGATGCATGAATGTGGACGGTAGGCCCTGGGCTTGGCTGAGTATCTCCGAAGTTACGCAGCTCTATCCGGACTGTTGTGGGCGTGTGAGCGATGAAAGAGCCAAGTGATGGAAAACCAGGAGGTGGGCCAAGTGTGCGAGATGGGGAGTGAGCTGCTCCAATGCGTGAAGACTGATTTTCACTCTTCAAGTCGTCATGGCGTTGTTTGGTATTTACCCCGTGTGTCAGCTGGTTTACTGTGAGCAAGGTGTCCTTATGACACGAATAGCGACTGTTAGGAGCATTTGAAGAGCTGCGTGGTAGAAAACCAGGTGGTGGACCATGTATGCGAGACGAAGCTTGCAGGGGAGCAGTATGGTGAGCAACGTCTCGTGTTATACGTTGGAGCGACGATTTAAAAAATGTCGACTTTCGTAGAGAAGACAAACCTGATGGAAAGCTATATATCTTAAGGAAATAGCGTCAACAGTGGTGACTGAGTGGGACTGTCTCCAGATGATTGGTAATAGGGAAGTCCTTATCGTAGTCGCTAAAACGGGCGATCATTTTTAATATTTTGCCATGACTTGTCGTTTTCAAAGATGTGGGTGAGGTAAAACCTAAATGCCTCACCGGAGATGTAGTCAGTGAAGTTGGTGATCATCCCCCGTTCCGACCATGATGCAGCGGTAGCGTTGAGCTCGAACAGGTAGAATCAGTCCTGCATGGGTCCATCGTCCGCTGCTCTGGTGTACTTGGGGATGTCAAGGTCGGCCAATGGTTCTGTTATGGTGCTTGTCGTTGTGTTCTTGTAGGTGATAATTCGATTGTCGATGTATGGTCAGGGTGTCTTGTGGGGATCTGCACCGATGATGAGCGACTGATGAAGGGGCAAGCAGGTCTCCATCCTGTTGACTCATGTGACGTTAGATGTTGGAGACGTGGCCTGCTCATACTGATGCTGATGACCTCAGATGGATGGCGCTCACCCACAAAGGGGATGGGCCAAGAAGGGTGGCAGGATATTTAAATGAAACTAAAATGAAATTGAAGCCAATCTGAAAAATTAGTTTAAAAGTAAAGCTTTGAGCAGATGCAGTGTCACATTCAATGAAGTCTCATACACCATGTTTATTCTATTCCCAGTTCTTCTTCATCAGCTTCTATCGTCAGTCACTGCCTTCCTACGTCACACATATATAGTTCATAGCGAAAAAATTCCAACGAATTCAACCAGGGGACATTATACTATACCTGATAAATGTTTTGAAACATTTCCTCTGATGGCTTGCTCGAGCGTTAAGTCTAAAGAAGCGCCGTCATTTAGCCCCCGTTTCTGAGTGCTCTCTGTCTTACAGTAGGCGTGATTGACGATTTAAACAAATACGTAGTAGTGAATTATCAATTCTTGCGACGTGCAAATGTTTTCAGTGTTTATACCTTGTATATGGTCGAGTATTAGACGCTGCATAATTACGCATTGTTGAGTAATCAACCAAGATAACTGGCCTTAAGGACCTCACCATCTGCAATCATATGTGAGAAATACTAAGTACTGCATAGCCCGAAATCGATGCAAGACAGAGAAGGAACGCCAATGCACGGGACAAGCAGTTAAACAGCAACTAATCTATATTATAAAAACTTTGCCTACCTACGTATGCCGCCGCATCGGCACGCGCAGGTGGACTTCCCTGTATACATTCACAATGCTATCGCCATGTACGTAAGGTGAAGACAAACGCACATTGTAACCATCTTTACAAAAAGTGATTTTCTTTTGCTGCGCAGCAAAAGTGAGAAAGGTGAACTAAACCAACCAAACAAAATTGCATTCTTGCAGCTCACCTTACGTACGCTCAAGCTGGGGCCTACGAAGAAAACGGTAGTGAAAAAGCAGTGGCACTGATAACTTCGTTTTGCGTTGCCAGCCGTAACAATATCTCGTCTCTCCCGTTGCACGTACTGCATGCAGCAAGGGCTACAAGGCTAGCCAAGTAATCAATAACGCTATCCAGCTTCCAGCTATTTAATGTCGCACATGGGGCCAACAGAGGTGAATAACAAAGGAATTGTTTGGTTGTTTTCTCGCGATTGCCTAACGTGTGCCGAGACCTGCGCCTCACTTTGCGGAGCTGATGAGATAAAACACGTGATCGTCATCTAAGGTGCCTTTATCTCGTGAGCTGAAGGCACCCGTGCCAACTTTGGTTGACTGTTGACATACGGGCCATTTATCGATCACTACCGTTAGCTCGCCCCCACCCCATTTCTTCTTGGATCTTTCTCTGTCCTTTGTATCAGAAAGTGTTCTATGTATCCTCTTTGCGAGGGACGGAACCAAACAAGTACTCTTAACGGCTTGTATTGTGCGAATGACGCTTTCGATACCCGTACTGGATGAATGTGTGCGCAATAAACTGTCTGGAGCTGGAGAGCGATCAATAGCCCGTGGAAGCAAGTGGTAAGACCGAAAACAGCGATCATATCAATCGTCGCTATTTCAACTTCAAGGTGGCAAAATGCGAAAATTAAAACCAACCATTGGCGCAGCAGCCAGAGGAAGGAGGGGGGTTGGGATTTCACTTTTCCAGAAATTTTCAGTTTTGCATATGTATATGTACAAGCACACATACAGGCGCAGGCACGAACAAACGTAATGATCGCATCGGAATGCAGCTTAGTATACGTTCTTTTCATCCTCTTGTAGGACCGCGGTAAGAAGAGGCTGCGCGGCAGTTTTTAGTTTACCTTTGTTTACTTTGTGCTGCAAGCTTGGGGAGGCATGCCAGCCGTTGCGCCGAATTCGCTCCAGCACTCAGCACTGTTTGCACGACATTCATATCGTGTCCGGCCGGTTCGGCGCTGACCGTAAACACCTTGTGCCCGCACGGCACCCCCCGAAGAGCTGAGGCGGCCACGCTTATAGTTTCTTGTTCACCCAAGAAAAAGAAACTAACCCCCCCCCCCTCCTCCGTAAGCGACAAAGGGGTAGGTATAAAAACGTCATTGTGATGACCCCTGGACTGCCTCACGGCACTTTAAGCCTGCGCATAGATGGGCCCCTTCTGAGACCCCTCGCATCAGTTTGGCTTACGGTCCAACCGATTGCTGTTTGAGTGCCTAAAACTCACCGCCGAGTTAAGGCGGCGTGGGTTGTAATACGGTGGGATCGCCGTCGACGTTTCGTCACGGTCTGGCTTGCTTCTGGTCGACCTTTTGCCACGGTGCGGCTTGCTTCGGAAGCGGGTGGGCTTGCGACACGGGAAAGCGTGACCTATGTCGCGGTGAACGGGTGCCCGATCGCAACCTTTGATCAATGCTGTCACACTGACATGCCTCCGGCTATTTCCACGCTAATTCGTTCAAATGAGCTCGTAAGTAGAGCCACGTGTGGAGAGCGATCGGTTCCGCTTGCAGCGCATAGGGGACAGGCGGATCACTGTCCCATCGGCAATAAGTTAACGTGTTACCATGGATGTCTTTCTTATGGCCGCACATCCCAGTACGCGTATACCTCTAAGTTTGGATATTTGTGCTCCAGCTGAGCTTTCCCTTGCATCTAGACCTTGGTTTAGTTTTGTTTTATTTGTATTTTATTGTTGTGTTCTTTGGAAAGATGCGAATGAGCCCTCACACGTGCAAGGGAGTGGCGCCCTTGTGACGGGATTTTTGATTTGCCAAGTGTACCGTCCCATCACAGAACAAACAGGCGACGATTCGCTGAGAGTTGTGTAAAGGTGGAGCATCGAGGGAATAAGAAGTGGCCCAGGTTCCACCAAGCGTTCTGACACCGTCGGCTTCACAAAATCCCGTTGGGTCACTCTAAAGAATGTTCATTTCCAAAGTATTCCCTTTTTTTTTTTGGTAACTTGTACACCCGTAGTGACTATGTATAATATTATGCACAGTCTGTACTTGTAAGTTCTTCTCAGCTCTATACTATAGAACTTCTCATCTTCAAGCGACCATCGAGTCAATCGCCGCTATTCGCATAGCTGCAGCGTATACGTTACTTCCTCCCACTTTGCTATACCACCTCGGCTGGTGCGTTTCGGGCGCCGTGTGGGGAGCGTTGTTTTGACAACATAGAAAGAACCTGAAGTTTACTCGTATACTTCTTCCCTGCCTGCCCGGTTTCAGTTTCATGCGGCAGGTAAGGAAGGGTGTTTCCTAACATATAGCAGTTTTTTATGCCTCAGTTGCTTACCGTAGTTCAGGGCTAAGCAGTATCGCGATAGTATTTCAGAGATACTTTTGAGTATGTTTTTTGTATTTGTATCTACGTAGTGAAATACTTTTACGATGTATCGATTGTATCGCAATACTATGAGGAGCATGGGTATACCGTTGCCCCCCCCCCCCCTTTTTTTTTGGAAATGAGCGGAAGCCTGCTTCCTAAAGTCGGGGAGGGGGGGAGTAGATAATGAAGGTTTGTTTTTTTGAGCATGGACAAGCAAGGGCGCGCCGTTGGTGGACGAAATTGAAAGGGCAGCGATGGTTTCATCTCAGCGACGTGGTAAAGCGCTCCACGCCGCAGGTCGCTGAATTGCGGAGGCAGTGTTGCCAGCCTTTTTAGACCTTTTAATTCAGACCTTTTCAGAAAGGTGCGGTACCTGTCTAAAGACAGGCAAGTACCGCGCCTTTATAATTTTTTGGCTGGCAAATAATTTCAAGAGTCTTGTGCACTAGCACCGTCGGCTATTCCTTGAGCCAACAGCTGCTTTCTCCATTTTAGTGGGCTGCTAGCGAATAGCAGAATTTACCCATAGTGGCGAATGTCCGTTTTTATGACTACTTGACACACCATCACGATAGGAGACGCCGACAAGTCCGAAGGTGATTCACTCCTGCAACAAACGCGATTAGAGATGATCATTTCACCCATACATTCCTTGTTCACTTGTTCTTGACCCTATCCTCACAGTGTTTTGTTCCAGCGTGCGTGAGTCTAATTGATGTGGCTATTTGTTAATCGAGTAAATGAGGGGTGTATTTGACAGGTTTACTTGTGATACGCATCTCACCTCATATTTCTTTTGCGGACCTGCGCGCCTTTTTAGTGAACTTACAACCGTAGGTTTCTACTAGGAAGATTCATAATTATACCCTCATTAGCATAAAAGATGCCTAAAGGTGCACCCATGAGGTCCCAGGAGCGCGAGAAAAGGATTCAACTTGGGTCAGAAAGCAAGTTTAGACCACCTTTAGATCTTTAAAAAGACCAACAACTGAGTTTCCTCGACTGATTTTCTTTTTTTTTTTGGCGTGAGAGAAAGCTGACCCTTCGTAGTATTTTGTAGCTGCCGTAGTTAATCCCAAATGCGCGTAGTCATTTTACAAGCCGCATTTTTCGACCTTAAAGACTATAAACACAGATGCTCCCGTCATCCAGCGACGCTGAGGAATGATAGTGATGCCGCGAGCCCTTCTTGCAAATGGGAAGGCTGTCGTCATTCTGCTTTCGCAGGTGTTCCTGCAACTATATGGTTAATCATCTTTATTTTGAGCTTTTTAACTACTTTAAATATAAGAGGCTGTTACGGTGAGAGGATGTGGCATTATACACTTTCCCCGTATTTTTAGCAAGTTGTGTGCGCCTGCGTTCAAGGTTTACTGGGCTTGAGTCATGGGTGGCTTGTCCCGGCTTCCTTACTCTCTGGATACACGAGCCAAGCCAAGTATTCAAAAAAACGTCACGATGCATATGCACGGCCGCGCCTACTAACAATGCCCGTCATTTCGGAGACGAAGTGTTGGTAGAAAAAATGTCCCTACAAAATCTAAACGGCCCGAAAACTGTGCGCACTGTTGCATGAAGTGCACTGAAAAGTTGCTCAAGACGCCCTGACGAGCATGAGATCATTACTTCAGGCGAAGGCAGCGCCACTTTTGTGTATACTACTATCGCAGGCTATATATGTACGTTTTCATGGACAATATATTTTAATATGAAGAAACTAAGAATATTTCAATACTAACTAAATGATTGTCGACCACGTACAGTAATAGACGGTCACGTTACCAGGTACATCGAATCGTTCATGCTCTTGCCACCAAAAGTTCCACAGGTCATTTTTCGCGAGTTTCGATGAACAAATATAAATATCAAACTACCGCACACGAAAAAAGAAAAGAGGGTCTGTCTGAGTCAATCTAACGGACAATCTTATTATCAGTGGTGCCATATAATTTCATATTCGTGGTAGTTGTCGGTGCTTTTAATGTGCACCTTAATCTAAGTACACGAAGCTCTGGCATTTCACCTCCATTGAGATGAGGCAACCACGTGCGCTATAGTCAGAAACTCGATTGTACAAAATGAAACAAAAGTTTCCGTTTCATTTATCGCTCATATACGTTTCTATTTCAGATGTCATATCGTGTAATATGATCCTTTCAAAGAGAAAAAAAAAAACACTCACCCGGCTAAACTTCTTGCACCTACCTCATGCGCTTGGTATTGTGCACGAGTCACATCGGCGCTACTTTTTATCGCATCCAACACGCCAAAGCCACGTGAATGATCTTGCCCCAATGTCTCCCAGAACTAATCTTTCGAAGAACTCGTTCTCTTGCGCTATCTTTCTGTTGCGACCTATTTGACAGTAGAAGCTTACGTAGTTTCTGCACATGTACTCTTGGAATAGAGCCAAGCATTCCCTTCATTGCGTTTGTTTTCTCCAACTTTTTTTTTTGTTTTTGCAGCGAAGCTGTTATGAGATAACAACACGAGTCACGTGCGGCACCGTAATTGTCCACAGACGCCGGTGTCCCTAACCACTATCGCACAAAATAAGAAAAATAACTAAGTAAATAAAAGCTCCAAAGAGGCAATGGGATTCGAACCCGGGTCCCCTGCGTGGCGGCCTCGTTATCTACCACTATGAGCCACGCCGTTTTTTTCTTTATTTTCGGTTAAGCTTTTCACGTTGGATAACCACTTTAGGCCAAGCTGTTTTTTTTCTTTATTTCTGGTTAAGCTTTCCACGTGGGGGATATGATAAATATATTACATAAACCGCAAACATAACAGAAAAATTACTAACGCCGTAAAGAACTGCTGTAGCACATCAAGTCTTGAAATTCCTTCACGGTGAGTGGGGCTTCTACCCTTTCTAACCACAAAAGAACGCATCAGTTTGTTTTTACTACCTCAATACATCTTAAGATACTTTCTTTAAAAGACTGTCTTGCTGGTGTTATGTCAGGATTACAGTGAAGTCCAGCCATTGGAGAGTACCGTATACTGTGCAAGGCATTCATCATGATTAAATGAAAAGGTAATCCACTATCATTCTCTATTGCTAAATACCCGATTCCATGAGCGTTTAAGGGAAATTCTTTTTTTCAATTTTCTTCTGTAATACGTCCCCAATAGTATACACCTTCCCAACAAGAAAACATGGTCAATTGTTTCCGGTTTGTTACAGATTCGACAGCCAGATCGCCCCACCGCGATGGTCTAGTGGCTAAGTTAATCGGCTGCTGACCCACAGGCCGCGGGATCGAATCCCGGCTGCGGCGGCTTTCGATGGAGGCGAAACGGCTGTACGCCCGTGTGCTTAGATTTTGGCCCACATTAAAGAACCCCAAGTGGTCGAAATTTCCGGAGCCCTCCACTAAGGCGTCTCTCATAATCATATTGTGGTTTTGGGACGTTAAACCCCGCATATCAATCGATTAGCCATCTTCGTCAAATGCATGGTTGGCTTGCTCGACGTAGATCACTGCCGTTCCCATTCTCTGCCCGCTATCACTTGCTCCCTTTAGCTTTCCCGTTGTTCGCACACCAACCAAGCGACATAACTGAGCGCTATCCAACTTGTAATATCGCTGAGCGAGTGGCGAGAAGAAGCGGAAGCAAGAGCTATGAATTTAGGTTAACCACTTCGCACGCTTCACCTGATTTAAAATTCACAAAATAAGAACTAGAAAAAGGCACATAAGCAAAAGAAAAGATTTTTCAGTGGTACCGAACTTCTTGATTTGTTAAAACTTATGAAAGCCAACAAATGCGAACGTCCACATCAACCTCACTTTGTTAAACCAGATCATTAATGATGCTCGGCAACCACTACGAGCGTGCATGCTCCTTGAAACCGAAACTAGCTCTAAGTTTCCAGGGCCTGGTGAGAGTGGCTCGATGACAGCCATAACAAGGTAGCAAATTGGGCGAGTTGTAAAATGCTCATGACGGACAGTACAAACAAAACACGTACAAAAAGAAGAAACGACGACACAGACGCTGTACAACAGCTGAATGTTTATAAAAAAAACAACCTCAAATACATATATGGGTACGAAAGAGATCAACAATGAAACCATGGCAGGTAGGTAGGTAGGTAGGTAGGTAGGTAGGTAGGTAGGTAGGTAGGTAGGTAGGTAGGTAGGTAGGTAGGTAGGTAGGTAGGTAGGTACTAAACTTTATTTATGTCTTGAAGAAATCACGGCCCTGTTTTCGTTGAGAGAGGAGCACGGGCACGGGTTGTGTGATTTTGTTGTTAATCTCTTTCGTTCCCGAATATATCTTTTTATAATAAACGTTGAGTTGTTAGACAGCGTATCTTTTGTCGTTTCTTCTTCTCGCTCGGATTGTGTTTGCACTGGCCACCATGAGCACAGCAGTCACCTCTGAAAATCAGAAGTGGTAAAGGAAGGTTCGCACGGAAGGGGTCATGAGCCACCCACCAGGCTTGGCGAGAAAACACACCCTGCAGATAACAGACGGTGCCATGGGTGGCTCAGCGTTATCTCGATATCATGCTCGGCGAAGGGAGTTGATAAGCGGGCCACGAGGTTGCCGTATTCTCCGGCGCTTCCTTTCAGTACTGAGGCCCATGCTCACTGTCCTTGGAACTGCCGGTGCCTGCTGTGTGGCACGCTGTTGGCGGATGTTAATAAAGAGTGCTATACCACGAAAAGGTGGGCCGTGTTATTTTGTTGCTTACTTGAACTTTAGCTCATGCTTTGCTCATGCGCTGTGTTCATGAGGTGATGAAAGGAGTATATATTGTGTTTTTTTATTTAATAAAGGTCAGTTGTTAGTCCGCGCTGGTCCTTGTGAACCTTTAGTCTGTGTCCTCGTGTTGTGTGTGCGAAATCTTAAGTATGCAAGAGTGCCGTTTTGGTTGGATGCGCTTCTTGCTACGCCGCGTGCCAGAATTACGTTCCGTGATGTGCTAAGATTACATAGTAGCTACGCTTCCACACACCGGAGCCGCAACGGGACAGAGCGATCACGTTTCGTCACGCAAAATCAATGCCTTGACGCGCTCCACGCCTCGTGCCACCTCACCCAGTGTAGCTTACAAGTCGCTCGTCGGGAAGGGATGGGAGAGAAAGCGCTCAGGGCGTGCGACAGATTCATGTAACTCTACTATTACTTGATTGATTCGAGGAATTTTCGCCGCAAGTGATTCGTGAGCGTATGAACTCCGATTCCGAGGTCAATCGATGATTACTTGGTAAATGTGATTCAGGGCCCTTCTTGGACTCTCGTCTGAGATACGCTTGCGTCGGCACGCATTGGCATGCACCAGTCCAGTTTCTTCTCCGGGACCACAGCTTTCAGCTCGCGGAAACAACTACTCTGGAAAAGTTAGCTCTTTTTAGAACTGTCAAGACGATTCCGGTATCGGACTGGTTACACGTGGTGATGAATTTTTTATCTTCTTCTCGTGAATACAAACTTTTGTGGAGCAGGGTGCAAAAATAAGCTCGAACCCTTTCCTTTCCAGTTTACGCCTGAGGCCCCACTAGGCACACTGACTCTGAATCTTTGCATGAGTCGCACGAGGAGGTAGAACATGTCCATTTGAGCTAGCTTCTCGCCGGGGCAGCAGCGGGTTCCCTGGCCGAAGGTGATCAGAGGACCGACATCAGTGCACACTTTTCCCGACACGGGATTGATGAACCGCTCGGGACGGAATTCTTCGGGGCTTTCCCAGTGCTCTGTGTCACGGTGTATCTTGTAGATGTTGTACCAAAGGCCCGTGTCCTTCGGGATGGCCCAGTTACCTGCGAAACCGGGTATACTTGGTTAAGTGCGTGGCCACCTGCTGTCTAGGTCTGACATCCCTCAAATAATGAATCACTAGAGCTACACAAGCCACGTTACACATATAGACAGAGGAGTGTGCACGTTGAGGGGAGGAGAAGGGGGCGTTCCCCCAAAGTCACCTAACACCCAAGTATATGGGTGGGGCGCGCAAGCTCTGCCCCTTATATTTACTTAATATACCTGAAATAAACTTTCATCCCCCTTCCCTGGGAAAGGAATCCTATGGTCCCTGAATCGCTTTTCAATCACGGTCAGAATGCGCCGCCCATTAGTATATAGAGCTGAAGTTCCTGAGAAGATGTGAGCCAAACATTATAGCGCAGCGCGCGACATAAAAATTCCAATATAATTTGAAATCAGGACGAATGGGCTCCCTCTTGTTTTGACAAATGATGTCGTATACCCAAAACGCAATGAACACGACCATTGGTTGATTTGAGGATCGTGAGCTGCACAGTTGTGGTGACAGCCACGGTGTGCGGTGACGGGCCCACACTGCGCTCCAACAGCGCTCTCTGGACCACACCAAAAGTAAGCCGCGTGTTCAGAGAAAGCAGGAACGTACGCTGACATAGAAACGTGGTTCTTGCCCCATTGCCCACCTCCCTCATCACACACACACACACACACACACACACACACACACACACACACACACCACACACACACACACACACACACACACACACACACACACACACACACACACACACACACACACACACACACACACACACACACACACACACACACACACACACACACACGCACACGCACACGCACACACACACACACACACACACACACACACACGCACACGCACACGCACACGCACACACACACACACACACACACACACACACACACACACACACACGCACACGCACACGCACACACACACACACACGCGCGCACGCACGCGCACACACGCACACGCACACACGCACGCACACGCGCGCACGCACGCACACGCACACACGCACGCACACGCGCGCACGCACGCACACACACGCACACACGCACACACGCACACTCACGCGCGCACGCGCACGCGCACGCACACACACGCGCACACGCACACACACACGCACACACACACATACACACACACACACGCGCGCGCGCGCGCACTTACACACACACACACACACGCACGCACGCACTTACACACATACACACACACGCACGCACAAACAAACAAACACACACACGTAATGATGCTACGTGTTTAGTCTTTTGTCACGTGCATAGGTTGCGCACGCATGTTTTGTTCTTCGTTCTAACCTTTGATTCTCGTCTTCGTTTGAATAAAGCAAGCAGTTGTCAGTCAGTGGTCGTGTTGCTAAGCCTTCCCTCGCGATTCGTCTCTGTGCTGTTTCAATCTGAATACAAGCCAACTAGCCTAACTATTACTTTTGCGGTAAAACCATTGCTTTGTGAGCTTTTAGCCACTTATCATGTCAGACATCCTACCAGCCACGACAGCCGTCGAACGTGCAATGAGGTTTGTGAGTAAGCAAGTTTTGTGAATTTCATTTCAGGAGCTTTGCGTATTGGGCGTTTTAGTCGTGAAGTAAATACTTTCTTTTTCTTTTTTTTGAGGTCAAGTGGGAGAACAACGTTGCTTTATTTTCTATTGGTTATCTATAGCTGTGCTGGCGAAAACAGCACTCACCGACTCGCGCATTCGTCGTTGTGTTATGCGGTAATCCTAGAGGCGCCGCGGGGTGCATCCTCAGCGTCTCCAGCAGGCAAGCCTCGGTGAAAGGAAGCTTCTCACGGTCTCCGTACACTGGTGGCGCACTCCCTTAGCACAATAAGGAAGTGTATGCTCTGTTGACGCTTTGCTATATGTTGTGAACGAACAGTCAAATGGTTCACTAAAACGGCTACAATTACTACGAAACATTGCGAAATGGCACAGTCGGCTTTTCTCATTGCGTACTTGTAGACAGGGCCACAGCCCTTCTTGCAGAAAACTTGTGTGAATGCCCCGTTCAATAGCGTTTACTCGTTTGCGTGGCGTCAAACTTCTCCAGTATTTCGGATAATTGAGTGCCCTATACAGATACATGTTTGTGCTTGGGGGTTTCGATTTAAAACTGGAACTCTTGGTAAATTTCCTCATAGCCTTTGAAATTGTGGCTCAGCCAAACGAACTGTGTTATGTAGGAAGGATAAACTAGAGATTCATTATATGGGTAGTATTTAGATTAGCCGAGAAAAAAAAGTCGGCAGATCCCACATACTATCTGGGAATCGACGCTATGCGAAGCATGCGGAGGGAAGGTGACCGTGTTGCATTTTTTTATTGACCGATACGTCATAAATTACGCTAGATATGTGTACAAATGCTGCACGCACAGACATATGTTGAAGAGATGCAGATGTTTATATAACCAGTCGTTAGCACTTGCGCAGCGATATCAACTGGAACATGCGCATTAGCAACACCAGAAGCTGATATGAAGCACTGATGCTCGCGAGGATGCTGGCCCTGGACTCTCCTACATAAATAAACTTGAGCGCACTGCACCTAACCACATTTGACGTTAATCCGGCGTGACGGCTGTATCAAAAAGATTACATATGTAACGTTTATAAAATTAGGCAGGCAGCGCTGCAACCACTCTTGACGTTTCACGGAGAGTAGCGTCTATTTGAAAAGTAGTTCCGCAACCTGGTGAAGCTCTGTGGTAGAATGCTTGACTGCCACGCAGAATGCTTGGGTTCGAGTCCTGCTGGGACCCTGAAATTTATTATTTGCATTTGTCGGGGGATCAACGCTGGCTGTCAGGTTTTTCTTAACACAGACATTTATTATATTTTTTTATTTATTGATTTATTTATTTACATACCCTAAGGACCCGGGAGGGCATTACATGGGGGGGGGGGGGGATAAGGAAGATTTTCAACATGTGTAAAATACATTAAATATTCAGAAGCATCATCATATAAAGCTTAAATGAAAAAAAATTGAAAAAAATAGTACACATCACAGTGGTGATAAGGATAATAAAAACATATATATAGACTCAACAGAAGAAAAGGTACATTAAAAAATACAATAGGCTCCAGGTAACAAGTGTAGGCGCGAATAACACACACAAAATATTCAAGTAATTCACATAAACAACACCACCGCATAACTACATTAATCGATTGGAACTTCTAAGAACACTTTTACCGCTTTCAGAAAGGATGATGATTCTGTTAGAGTGGCTACATCAGCTGGCAAGGAATTCCAGTTGGTTATTGAGAGGGCTAAGGGCGAGTTTTGGTATGTTTTTGCTCTCGGGAAGATGGGATTAACTTTGTTAGGGTGATCAACACGGGCTGAAATGTATGCCTTCGTTGGCTCGATGCTACCCATGTCAGGTATTGCTTATCACGGTCTCCGTACACTGGTGGCGCGTTCCCTTAGCACAATAAGGAAGTGTATGCTCTGTTGACGCTTTGCTATATGTTCTGAACGAACAGTCAAATGGTTCACTGAAACGGCTACAATTACTATACAAGAACATTGCGAAACGGCACAGCTGGTTTTTCTCATTGCGTACTTGTAGACAGGGCCACAGCCCTTCCCGCAGAAAACTTGTGCGAATGCCCCATTAAATAGCGTTTACTCGTTTGCGTGGCGTCAAACTTCTCCAGTATTTCGGATAATTGAGTGCCCTATACAGATACATGTTTGTGCTTGGGGGTTGAGGTTTAAAACTGGAACTCTTGGTAAATTTCCTCATAGCCTTTGAAATTGTGGCTCAGCCGAACGAACTGTTTTAGGTAGGAACGATAAACTAGAGATTCTTTATATGGGTAGTATTTAGATTAGCCGAGAAAAAAAAGTCGGCAGATCCCGCGTACTATCTGGGAATCGACGCTATGCGAAGCATGCGGAGGGAAGGTGACCGCGTTGCATTTTTTTATTGACCGATACGTCATAAATTACGCTGGATATGTGTACAAATGCTGCACGCACAGACATATGTTGAAGAAATGCAGATGTTTATATAACCAGTTGTTAGCACTTGCGCAGCGATATCAACTGGAACATGCGCATTAGCAACACCAGAAGCTGATATGAAGCACTGATGCTCGCGAGGATGCTGGCCCTGGACTCTCCTACATAAATAAACTTGAGCGCACTGCACCTAACCACATTTGACGTTAACCAGACGTGACGGCTGTATCAAAAAGATTACATATGTAACGTTTATAAAATTAGGCAGGCTGCCCTGCAACCACTCTGGACGTTTCACGGAGAGTAGCGTCTATTTGAAAAGTAGTTCCGCAACCTGGCGAAGCTCTTTGGTAGAATGCTTGACTGCCACGCAGAATGCTTGGGTTCGATTCCTGCTGGGACCCTGAAATTTATTATTTGCATTTGTCGGGGGGTCAACGCTGCCTATATCAGGTTTTTCTTAACACTGACATTTATTATATGCTTTCGTTGGCTCGATGCTACCCATGTCAGGTATTGCTTAACGGCTCACGCGTTCAAATTATCCACGTGTGTTCTCGTCATTCCTAGTTAGGTACAAGGTATCAATCACCTGTGACACATACCCGCATACCATTGGCACATACCCTGCCCGTGGGTATGTGCCACTGTCTGGCGGCAAGTGTTTGACGACGCAAGCGACGGGATTGTGACATTATTCATGTCTTGACCAGCGCGTCATATTCGCCAAACCATCTTACTCTCCCCTGCTAAGTTTGGTTCACGCCAAGTAAAGGGGGTGACCACGAGAGCAACGAAACGTAAGCGGCTAGATAGATAAATAGATAGATATGCTAAAAGTCGCCGAACTTTGCTAAGACGATACTTCGCATTTAAAACGTTTATCTTCCGAGTGGAAGGTGACCTGCTATGATGACGTTCACTATATATAATGACCTGCATCACAACTGACATGCGGTTATTCTTGCTTTTGCCCCCCCCCCCCCTCATACTAATATGTAATACTCTGAAAAGAGCCTTTAAGTGTAAATAAATTACTATGACGATGATGAGCGGAATCCAGCTCCCACGACTGTTTTGCACATTGGAAAGGCAGGCACACCGCAGTTCAGTAAACTGAGCCGACATTTTTCTACTAGATTGTAACCGATCATAATGTTTTTCTGCTTACTGAACATGAGTTTGATATTAAAAAAAAATCAAGACAACTACTACGTAGATACCCACTTGCGCTTGGCATTTACAGTTTTCCTTAAGATTCCGCATGCAAAGAACCACAGCGTCCGGACACCTGCGCTACAGTTTAGAAAGGTAACAGGACAGCCACGACAGTGGTTACTCTGCGATGACTGACTTGTAGGTTGAGGCAGTGCAAGTATTGGGTGCTGTGTGTACTTATCATTAACGTGAACCAGAGTGCTAGAAAGATATCGTTTGTGTGCGGGATATTTCCTTGTGGCTACTGGGACGTTTCTTTATAGCACACAGTCTATGAAGGTCTGTACAGGTACGAACTAGAACTTGCTTTGGTTTGTTTCTTCAGATTCCCACAACGCACTTTTACCAGGGACTAAATTCCGGTAAAACTTGCTGCTATGCTAGTTGGTACTGCTTACTGGAATAAAGAAAAAGCACAACAATAACAGAAAAACGGCAAGAAGGAGAACTATGGAAGCTTGCAATGAAAAAAAAAAAAGGAACTCGTAGACGAGGCTGGTGTGCTCGAGATCACAGAATAAAGACGGTAATAGAGAAGGGCGTTGAGTCTCCCTTTCTGTCTCGTGTTTTTTCTTTAGTTCTTTGGATCAATGACTCGTCGTCTTTTGCTTTAATTAGGCTCTTTAGTTGTTGTGCATCTTGTATATTTTATTAAGATGCTATATTTAGTTCTCTTGAATTTTCTTGAGATCCATTGGCTTAGAACAAAAATGTTACCTTTTGCTAATAGAGGTAAAAAATTTGTCAAACTCTACAAAAGCTTAAACATTTTATCAAGGCATGACAAGGACAAAAGCACATTCCGGTTTCCTTAGGCAATTTTGTAAGAAAAGTTGTCATGGCATCGCAATTTGCAGTAAAAAAAATCTTGCTTCTGAAAGAAAACTCATCACGTTAGAATATGCAGGCATGAGATCGCTAACATAGACGCCAAGAACGGCCGGCAGCAAGGAGATTTTAGGGAGGTAAGTTACGAATAAATCTAAAGTAGTTGCGGAGATTGCAGTTTCAAACGTTGGTGTATAACATTCAGTAAAGTACAAGTGTCGAAAAATACAGATAACTCCCTTCGTTCCAGATCACTTCTCGACACATCAATAAAAAAAAAAATGTTTTCCAAGAATGTGAATCTTGTTGGTATGAAACTCAAGCAACGAAAAAAAGAAAATAGGCTAAAATTTTTTTCACCGATGTTGTCTTCGATTTCCTTTTGAATCCTATCTTGAATGCCGTGTTCTTTTGCTATCCGTAGTAGTAGCCACTGAAATGTGGCTGTCGATGTGTTGGTCCCAGCTGTAAAGCAACACGAACACACATGTTGAATGTGGTTCTTGCCCATTGTGTACATATGCGAAAGTGCAGGTTAGGGTAAGTAAAGAAACAAATGATAAATAACGTACACATGCTTTAAAACGCATTACAGATTCCGATATGCAGACGTGAATGTGTGGCGCCTACAAGAGGGGCAGTGGTAGTGAAGACATCTGTGTTGTATTGTCTTGGCAGATATGCTGACCCCACCACTCGCTGTATCAATTAACGCTTAAGGGTGCACCAGTCATCTTTAAAAGTAATTAAGACCATTTACGCATTTAGATTTGCACTGTGCGAAGCATTGTGGTGAAGCTTGATTTAAAAAAAAAACGGAGGTTATTTCTAAACGAAGAAAGAGAGTGAGAGAAAGATAGTTATTGAAAGACAAAAAATTTAGCCGGCGTATAGAAGTCACTGACATGTGACTATCCCGCATGGGCAACTGAAAGAAGGGAGGAAGGAAGATAGCAGAAGCAGAGGTGCAATAAATATCAAAAAGAGAAAAAAAGGGCGCTGTGTTTCTGGCTCTTGGCTGGGGGCATGAGTTGATGTATGGTGCTTAATTGTGTACATTGTACTACAGTGAGGCGACTAATTCCTCAGCATGTACGAAAAGAGAACGAGGGTGACAGGCAGGGTGCAAGTCAAAGTTCACTTGTGGAGCTGACTGACATTGTCCACATAGGAATTTCATCATTCGCCTCACTTGCATGAGGCAGGCCAAATGGCCTAAAACGCACATAGTGGCAAATGTCCGTGTGATTGAGTGCTTGTATTCTTATAAAGTGCACAATTATCAGTCTTCACTTAACGCTACAAGAGAATATATTTCAGGGTTTCGATTTAGCCACAGTTGTTGCATTTTAGACAGTCCGGTTGACCGAAATGGTAGCGTAAGCCATTTTTATAGGCAAAGTTTAGACGAGGTCGTTTGTATAGTTTCCAGTTGTCGATGAATGCTGGATTTGAGTACTTAGGCCCATATTCACAAACCAACGTTGACTTTACCTAACGTTTTCCTTAAGTCTCTGTACTCTACACATGTATTATAAGGGCACAAAAATGGTAACAGTGTAAATAAAAACAAGATTAGTTCATAAATACTACCTTGCTTTGGTCATCAAGCTTAACAAAAGCCTAAAACGATAAGAAAAATTTGAGGAAATGTTGAGGCAGGTTTGTGCGTGAGGGCTTTAACCTGAGTTGTTGGTCGATGGAGTAAAGAAAGCTGTGAAGATGTGTCAGAATGTTCAAAAGACGCCTCTTCCTTACTGTAAGAACAAGTCCTTTGAAAAGCCAGTTGTGAGGCATCATATTTGGTAAAATAACGTTGCCTGTAATGTTGTTATTAAATAAATTACATGATACTTCGTGCTTTTTGTTAGCCAGCGAATACCGGCTAATTGTGGTGTTTAACCACCGCGAACGCACAACGAATGATCTTGCTGATGCATTTAGTATTGGCATAAGCGAATACGGCTGACTAAGTAAAGCATAATCAAGAATATCCTCCAAAGAAGTGTCCCTCCTAAAGGAAAGAAGCTAGGAGAATGAGGTGGTGTGCGGCAAAGGCCTGCACGAAGCAACTCAGAACTGTGCGCATGCGCGGCAGCTTGACACGCCCTGGTTGGGTACATATAACCCGTTAGACCTTGTGTCAATAATTGATGGACTTGTGCGCAACATCATCGAGGCCACATGCCAAGCAAGGAAGTGTGCCTTCTGCATACGCAAGGGTTTCCCTCCTGAGGAAGTTTGTGCCTTATTCGGAGGTGTTCAACCATCCTGGAGACATGTCAAAAGGGTCTGCAAGATTCTCAAGGCGGAACTTTGGCGTCAGGTGCGTTTGTTTCACGACTGGCTCCGCGTGGTCCACTACAGTCTTCTTCCGCAATGGCAGGCTGCTCAACACCTTCGATGGCTGAGGCAGCAACTGGGCGTACTCACGGAAGTGAGGTGGAAGCAGGTGCTGAACCCACTGCTCAAGGTGTTTGATAAGCAAAGAAGGGAAGAACGAAAGCGCATTGTGGTGCTACAGGACGCATACATTCCGGCAGAAATCGAGAGATGGCTTCGGAAGGGACCAAAGTTTGCCGTTCCGCCTCGCATTTCTGCCCATGAACTTGTCGGACTAAACAGAGGACTTGTCTGTGAAGGCCAATCAAGACCGGGACAGATGCCTACAAGATGGTATGAACTGTTTATCGAAATATGCACCGCAGAATCAAGATAGACCTAAAGTTAAAGGCTTGAATAACATCGTGTCGTTCTTTAAAAGCCACAAATTAACGTTAATGCTAGCCGACAAAGAAGGTTGCTTTGTGGTCATGCCTGAGGGAGCATACAAAGAAAAGGCTTTAGCGGCTATCAAGAAGAGCTTCCGCCCAGTTAAGTTGGGAGCGACTCGCGTTAGGTCTAAGTTCGCTGATTTTTGCAAGAATGCGGGGCTTACAATGTTAGCTAAGGACGTAAAGAACAGCAAAGGGAGCAACCTCAACGTTTTCTAGCGCAAGGCGGCAGCAGCGCGCGCTCGCAGACAGAATCCCGATGTGCGAGCGCGCGAGGCAAGGGACATCGCAAGCCATCCATCGTCTAAGAACAAATAAAAGTTGATTTGTGTATATACACACACAGCAGTTCTCACGTCTTTACATGATGATCGACTGGGCGAATTACACGGAAGATTCACAGTTTACCGATGAATCCCTCCGGAGCTTCGCCCATTCATCATCATTCACCCCGTGAATATGCCGTAATTTTTTTCTCGGCCAAGACACACAAACCGAATGTACCTTTTCGCACTATTGTTAGTGAAGGAGGGTTTTGGCAGATTAACGTTAGCAGATTTCTTCAGAGCAAGCGAAAGAATCTCGGGGTGAATGACCATTCCCGTACGAAGGGCTCAAGTGATGTGTGCGACTTTTTGCGGCCTCGCGTTACTACAGGCAACGCCTTTTCAGTGGATGCTGTAGATCTGTATTATTCCGTGCCGCATAACAAGCTTCTAGCCTCTGTAAAATCCTGCATAGAAGAGAATGGTGATGTCAATTTTATCAATGATGCGGGCGTTAATGTAGACAATTTTTTATCGCTTATAGAATTTTATCTCAATGCAACTTTTACTATGTTTGACGAAAAGCCATTTCTTCAGCGGCAAGGAATCTGCATCGGTTCCTTTGTCACACCGGTCTTTTGCGATATTTTTCTAGCGGATGTAGATAGGGACTTGGACAATGCTTTTAAAAGGGGGGGGGGTTAAAGGTTTTTAGGTACTTTGACGATTTTTTAATTCTTTTAGATAAATAGGGTGACCTTACATCCCCTCATATTATTTTAAACGTTTTTATAAGACTAGGACGTGGGCTTTTCTTTACTGTTGAATTGCCTCAAAAAGCTTCTCTGCAGTTTTTAGACTTCAGCCTCACGTGGAACGATGAGCATCTTTGCTGGTCTTATCATCCTCGTGTTGAGAAGCAGCTGTTGCCGTACGATTCTGCCCACTCAAAGATTGTGAAGAGGGGCGTTGCGTCTCTTTGCTTGGAATCAGCGCTAAAGAGGTCGTGCCCACACAGCATGAAACTTAGTTTCCTCAATCAGGTGAGCCGACTAGAGGCTGCTGGGTTCCCTCGATCGGTCATTACGGCCGTTGCTGAATCACTTCTGCAGAAGCTTAAACATGCAACACGGGAAGCGATGACTGCTACCCAGCCCTCAAGGATTAGGCCACAAGTTGTGCCATATATCCATAATGTCTCGCACAACCTCAAGAAAGTCGCGGCCAGGCACGGCGTACCGATGGTGTTTTCCGCACCAGAAAAAATCGGAAGACTGTGCCAACGTGTGTGCGATAGGAAGAAGCGCGGCTGCCAGAAGAAACATGAGAGGGCCTTTGTTAAGTGTTCCATGGGGGTTGTATACTCCATACCCTTATCCTGCGGAAAAGTGAACATGGGCCAAACCGAACGGTGTATTAATGACCGATTAAGAGAACACGCCCAAAAATTAACAAAAAGAGATAAGTATGCGCACCTGGTTGCGCATGTCATCTCGTGTGGTTGTGACGCACGATTTTCTGAGACGAAGATTCTGGGCAAAAGCGCAAGTAAAACTGCACGTGAAGTGTTAGAGGCCTTTTTCATTGAAAAAAATAAAGATCACTGTGTAAGCGCCCCTTCGATTTCGTTGTTACCAAGCGAACTTCAGTTTATCGCTCTGAGGCTATGACATTGATTAACTGTACGTTTGATAATGTATGCTGTTGGCCTTCTATGGTGTGTGTGCGCACAATGTGTCCTGTATATATTCAAGCCTTCGAGCTATGAATAAATCAGTTGGAAGTGGGCGCTATGTGTGTTTGATGCATGGGTGTGTGCGTGTGTGAGTGATCGTGTCAAGCTTTCGCGCTCGAATTAACTTTTCGAAATATATACAGGGTGTCTCAGGTAACTTTAGGCAGAGTTTAAAAATATGCCGGTACACGCGATTACGACGCGACCAGAGGCATGTTGCTCACCATTGCCTGGAGTTAGTGAGTCTATTTTTTGTGTTCTCAAATATTGTTTAATTGAACCAGTTTAATGAAAAAAAAACTTTTCAAGAAACGAAGATAGATAAAAAATTCAAGAAGGAAATTGTAGATCAGTTTGCAAAACATCCGATTAGACAGTTTTGAACTTTATATCTGTTAGGTATTAGTGTTTTTCTGCTAATTACAAATGCCCGCAAAATACAAAAAATGCCACGTGACAAACCCACTCGTGCGCCAGTGCGCACAATGATTCTAGTGCTCCCTAACGTTCCGCGTACGAACGACCGCAGCATTTGTCCTATTGTGCTGTCCCGGCCAGGCCGCAACGATGGTGGTGGCTTTACGATGAACACGTTTTGCGATCGGCCACAAAAACTATAACCGCTGTGACTGCTGATCACTATCATGAACCGGTGCGAGGGAAGCGTGTCGTTCGTACGCGGAACATAAGGGAGCACTAGAATCGTCGTGCGTACTGACGTGCGAGTGGGTTTGTCACATGGTATTTTTTCTTATTTTGGGGGTACTTGTATTTCGGGGGGACTTTGTGTTTGCAAACTTCCCCCTGCAGCCAGTACAACAACCTCTCTTGCTTCATTTCATGAACCATCAAGCCATAATAATGAAGAGATTTCGCAATACAGCCCCGATGACAACGAGGATATGAAAAGAACAAACGAAGAAGCAAAACAACAAACGAACAAAGACAAAATAAAAGTTGGATTTGTATATTATACGCACAGTCTTACGTCTTTATAATGATCTAATGGACTAACTTTTCACGGGAAAGTTACAGTTTACCGATGATCTCCCCCTTTCGAACTTCGCCCACTTATCTTCATCCATTCCGTGGATATGGCATGATTTTTTCACTCACTCACTTACTCACTCACAAAAACATTGTTAGGTGTGTACAAGTATTGCGGGAAGACTACCACCAGGTGAACAATATAATGCAAAGGCACTGCAGCAAAACTCAAAGCATCAGTGTCCCAATGCAGTGGTTGTAAAATAGGTTTGTGCGGAACTAAAAGCCACGTCCGTCACGCTGCGCTGCGGTGTTGTGGGCCCTTACCCCCACTTTAATTTATCTCACTGCATGGGGTCCCTCCATATTCTTTAGGAAAGACTCCCCATCTAAGCCAATAATGTAGCAGGGACGCTGTGTTGGTATACATCTCACGCAGAACCTCAGCTACCTATACAGACATGATTCGCTTAACAACATCTTAATGTGTTTCCTAACATGTTAGACATTGAAAGAGAGCGGTACTACACTATGAAATAACTCTTGTCTTATTTTTTGTTAAGGTTAATTCATTAACAGTATGGAGGCATGCTTCTTGTCTTTTGCTTTGCCATGGAGAACAAAGGCATTGTATATTGCCTATTGAAAGCATCTTGCCAACAAGGACAATGAAGGGCCCCAAAATCCCAGCGCGAAATTATGCATGTGCACGATGTAGGGTGACTTATAAAATCTATGCTACCCAAAGAATACGTGGAGTAAGGCCCATCCATTGCTTTACCTACCGTTGAAGATGTTCATCGTAGCAAGAATCATGTTGGGTCTGGTCAGGTATTGCGCATCAGTTCTATCCTCTTTGATGGCTTCTTCTCGGGCGGCAAGCATGGCGTGAGTAAAGTTTTCCGTGCTACCTGTAGGAGGGCGGGGCAATATCATATTTTGAGCCGCTTTGTGGCCTAAGAAGTAGTGTAACGCGAGTTTGTATTGATGACATCACTGACATGTTTGCGGTCATGGCGTTTCATTGTTACGCAAAAAGAGTCAAGAGCCAGTCGTGGAAGCTACGATGCAACACTCTCCCGTTATGAGCATTTATGCTAATAAGATGATTCTGTGACACTTGTGTCTTCAAGAGGCCTTCGCAATGATAACACATTGGGGATCAAAATTGACAACAGCCCAACAAGCAACAACTGTAGCTGCGATGAAGCAGTCGAGCATCTTATCAGTGAGAGCCCCACTTCAGCGGCCAGGAAAGAGTGTTGGGTGGATTTGACAATCATCTATTGTCGGAGGAAAGTTTGTTTGGAAACTGGCCGGGACTTCCCTCAGCACAGAGGGTTTCAGAAAAAAATGCGTTTCTTGTGGACCATTGGTCTTAAAGATAACCTTTCAGCTAAGTGGGTCTCGAAAATGAGGCACTATGCTCTCGGAGCGAATGGACACAGCAGACGCTGTTGATGTGATATGTGGGGATTAACGTCTTAAAACCACCATATAGTTATGAGTGACACCGTAGTTGAGGGCTCCGGAAATTTCGACCACCTGGGGTTCTTCAACGTGCACCCAAATCTGAGCACACAGGCCTACAGCAGACGCTGTCAAAACAACCCAAACATCGCGTACATTTATTCAATTACTTTTACATCGACGATATCGCCCACCTAATGAATACATCACTAGTTATCAACACGCTAAACACAACTTTATACAATATTCCAATGCACTGGATCAACATAACAACTAAGTACAAGGTAACGTGAAGGCGGCGTCACCAACGATCGACTCACCACGACAGGCCAACGAGAAACGACCTGTGGCGCCGCACATGTCTCACGTGCCACCACCCACACTCGCCACCAGGGGTCACTGCTGGCGCTACCTTGCTAACCATGATGATGATGAACTCGCACGGCTGCACAACGCCACCTACACTTGATGGTTGTTACCTCTAAATGCGGCGTATCCTCGAGCACGTGTGCGCCATGAGGCGCAAATGATTTTACAAGAGTGGTAGCACCCCCCCCCCCCCCCCCGCACTCCCCAAAGTAGTTTCATATTATCCTTTCTTTTTTATTGTAACGTCTCTTTTAAATTACTATGTGTTCCCCTTACTAGTTTTTTTTTTGTGCTAAGTAAACAGCTGGTCTGATAATTGGCAGCCACCCTATTTCATCTGCCCCCTCCTCCTACAAATAAATTCTTATCCTCCTTGATTGGGTGACCCATAGAAAAACATATCATGATAGTTGCGTCAAGCTGATGAACATACTTGTCTTCTGCTAAGAAATTCTCGGCTGTATGAAGTGCCTTTCACGAAAAAAAAAAACACGTTCGCATGGGCTTTTAGGTTTGATGCACCGCGTAATCTTAACATTTTTTTTTGTGGCATTCACTGCAATCAACAGAAAGTAAGGTAATGTAAAAAACCTACACCACATTGCACGAAGTACTATGAGTAAGAGGCCTGCGATGCCTTGCACAAGGTTCCGTTTCTAGACGCCGCCACATGTACGCAATGCCCGAAACTAGTGTATACCTGGGGTGTAGGTCTCCTCGGCTCTCGAGAACAGCTTTTGTATAAGCTCCTTGAGTTCGCGGAACAATGCTGCCATCTTTTTCTCTTTGTTGTAGTACAGAACGGCCAGAAAAGGAGCGATGTCACTGGGCAGGCCGTTGGGTGAGATTCGGTAGAACCGGCGGTTGATGTCTTCCAAGCTTTCTATATAAGCTTCGTGCAGCCTGAGCATGAAATCATGTCGTTAGTGTTGTTTTCATTAACGCCACAGGATCGTCGGCTGCAACATGTAGGATAAATCAAGAAGGGGAGTCAATTGATTGTTTGGGAGCGCCTCCGTGGCAGGTAGAGCATTGCTACTCGGCTTTCAACGTTGGCTTTCCTGTGATTTCTTAGATTCTACTTCCGCCTTTCAGTTCAGAATTATTTAACTCATAGGAAATAAAATCCCAATTTAGCCGCTAGGGTGAAGCAATGAGTGAGACAGCACCAAATTAGAATGTTATACGAAGGAGGGCCAGTAGCTGGGTATCCGATATGGTATAACTCAACAAAATGCTGGTTGAAGAAATGCGCTGGTGCCAGGAACCCAAACGGTTTTCTTGCTGTCCATCCTCCAAACGCGAAGCGTTGAGAAGAGATGAAGTTTACGAGCTGTCACCGGATGTCTTTTGAGATACGGCGAGAGAAAGTCCCTCACAACCGCACCTTTATGAACAAAGTTCGCGGTTGCTGATCGATCGACGCAGGCGCGTTTGTCTTCTCCTCACGCTCCTTCTCCTGGCGATAGACAGCAGGGACGCTGTCTCTTTTTAAGAGACCATCAGCGGTAGGCTTCGAACGTGGGGAGCTGTTATCGCATGCACCCTTCGTACGACGCCGATTACTGGCTTGTTTTATCTCTGCTTGAACAGCATATATAGCTTGCTTGAATTACTCGCACATACGTCATAGGATGTGTTTGGTTGCTTGAATTACTCGCACATACGTCATAGGATGTGTTTGGTGATGTTATTGATTTGGACTTTATACGCAGCATGACGGTGATGAAACAAGACCCACTGAGAGTGTCCTTATTATTTCTATAAAAGTCACAGTTTCGACGCAACAGTGGATCAATGAAGTGGGAAAGCATAAAACTGGAATGTTGTACACAGTTAGACTAGCAGCGTTAGGATCAATATGAATCGTAATAAAAGCAGTACAAGTTTTAATAATGGTGTTTTGCAAGTTGGTTCTAGAGCAAGACCAGATGTTTAAGTTGGGCTTGGTGAATGGCATTGGCGGACAAATGTAGCAAAGCGATGATCAAACCAAATCAGTAAAATAAACTTCTGGTTATCAGAAAATGACCTTTGTGGTCATTATATTCCGCAGCGACCATATAAGGTTCAATGGCTGCTTGCTTCGCAAGAAGGTTTTGTGTAAATCTGGGTTTTGCGACCACTGAGTTCTGAAACGCGCTGCACTAGAAAACAACATTATTTGCATTTGGCGACACGTTGTTCAAAGCGAAGCAAGACTAATCTAATTTTTAAAAATCTCTTGGCACTCTAAGTATACCAGCAAAACTGTGGCATTTATCACCAGGTCGAATTTCTCAACCTTCGCTAGATATTTTTTTCTGATTATTTTTGTTTCCACTGGCGTTCTCCTGGGTCATATGAAGGTAAACAATGCAGTGGAGTCAACTAGTGCTCTCAAGAATACAGAGCAATGTTTTCTTGATTTAGGTTAGGCTTGCAAGTAACTACAACTTTATCAACGAAAATATACTGCATACCTTGTACCATATATAGCTACCCCAATGACGTTGCAGAACATAGAGAAGATAGGTTTCCTGAAATCCATCATCTGTGGTCCTTCTGTTAAGGAGTCCGCAAAGGTGTCGACGATGTCGGTGCAAAGATGTTCTAAAGACTCACTGGCCGCGTACCGTCTGCGATTAAAGGAAACTCATCTTACTAGCATGTTGGTTCACGTCCTAAAGCAGACTAAAACAAACAAACAAACAAACAAACAAACAAACAAACAAACAAACAAATATGGCTGTTTTATAAAAGTCACGTGGGCTCTCATGTTTTTGCGAATGTGACTTGAAGGCGAAAGTTATCTTCTCAGTCGGCTGTATTGATACGCCAACTAAACCGTATACCTCTCCTCGAATCGGCAGTAGCATTTCAGTAGCATCTGCTAAACGCACCCTAAGTGAATTTGCAGTGCCTCCGAGATTGCAGGCATCAAAAGCTCTCGAAATCTCATGTGGTATTGCACTGCATCCGCAATCTCTCGATCTTTGCACCAAGTGAAGATGTGTGGCGCCCGTTTTTGTGTTCTCATCATTTTGTGTCCCTTGTTTTTTGCGCCGTTCGTAGCTATGTAGTAGAGATGTCTCGAAATTACGTCATCACGCTACGCCAACGCATGTGAGGTCACAAATTGGCACCTGCGATAGTCACGATAATGCAAGAGTCACGTCAACGTGCGCTTTTTTGCATAACACGTGCTTACGTGAACGGCCACACTTCGCACTTGATGAGGCCCCTGAGGCTTTCGCTTTCATGAAAAAAAAAATGAAACTGAAGGGCAAAGACATATGGATTATGAAAAGCCTGTAGAATGTATTCGTCGCTATAAGACCCTGGTGCATGAAAACTGATATTTGAGGTGAATTCGAGAGAATCGGAATAGTAGCAAAAGTAAGGTGGAACGAACATACGAGAATCGTCTTAAAGTTTTGACGAGGCGGGATTCACAGCCGTCAAAGGACGATCCGAAGGCGAGCATCGTGACCATTCGGCTATCCAGGCGCACTAGCAGACCAGGCATCAAGAAAGAAGAAAAAAATATAAAAAGAAACGAACAATGTCCACGAGTTCTGCACTTTTTTTTCAGGTTTGGTAGCACCAGTGTGAAGCTGATTAATTGTTTTACGACCATTACAAAACGGCGTCCAATTCGCAACTATACAAGTGGAAATGAAGCACCAGGCAGACTCGTCGAAGGCGCGGAACTGTTCCGAGAGAGCGAATAATTATTGCATAGCTACTATAGTGTCTGGCTTTCCAAGTGATATGGCCTTCGGCACTACGTAAACATTCATGGTTTACGGCGCTGCCGTCCACTGTCTTTTAGGGGCGAAGCTCCTAAAGCCGTGGATATGTCCGTGCATGTCTCTTTTTGACCAGTTCGTAACCACCTAGTTGTATGAATCACTCAGCAGGTGGTACTAGAGTGAGTGAGTGAGTGACAGACAGACAGACAGACAGACAGACAGACAGACAGACAGACAGACAGACAGACAGACAGACAGACAGACAGACAGACAGACAGACAGACAGACAGGCAGGCAGGCAGGCAGGCAGGCAGGCAGGCAGGCAGGCAGGCAGGTGATCGGACGGACTGACGGATGCATGAACGGATGCAGGGACAGACAGATAGAAGCACGGACGGACGGATGCACGAGTGGATGAAAGCACGGATGGACAGGCAGACGAACAGACAGAAGCACGGATGGACGGATGGACTCAAGGACGGATGGACTCATGGACGGGTGGTTGGAAGCACATACGGATGGACTCATGGACGGGTGGTTGGAAGCACATATGATGGACGGACTCACGGATGGATGGATGGATGGACAGATGGACGCAGGGAAGCATGCACGGTCAGAGAGCGGGACGGACGGACGAACTCACGGACGGACAGACGGAAGCACGAATGGAGGGATGTATTTAAGCACAGACGCATGGACGGACGGGCTAGCGGATGGACGCACGAGCAGTTAGACACACAGGACGGACGGATGGACGCTTCACCCCTCTCATCATCATTCACTCCGTGGATATGCTGTGATATTTTTACGAACAAGTTTACTTTGGTACATTTATTACACGTGGATATTTGTATATTATCAAAAATATTCGTCTTTTCGATTAGGACCTATTCTAATTGAGTTTTGAAGAAAACACTGTTTGAACGGAAGTTTTCGATGTGCTATTCAAAATTGTGAAATATTAGCGCACTTCACTCTCGCCCCCGTTCTTCTGCGTTCTTATTATTAGCGAAATGCTAATGATTGCCTCGTTTTCTTACAAGTAACTACGTTAGGCGTTCTGTTTTTCGCGCATATAGAAAACAGTCATAATTTAAAAGAAATGTTAAGCAGGATATTTGTAGGAAACCGCAAAGCACAGTAGTAGACGAAGAAGATAAGGTATACTTGCCTCGACGCTGACGCAGTAACCTTCCTAAGAGCCTTCCAGTAGGGGTTGTAATCTTCGAATACGATATCATGGTTACCTTGGTTTTGTAAGGCACCTGAAATCGGACGTTTCATGCAATTGAACTAATGTGAAAAGTAATGGCCTGTAAAAGCGCGCTGGCACCTCTTCATTGGCAATAGCGCCTGCGATATTTGTTTAATAAATGAAAAATAAAGCAAAACACGTGCCGAACGTCACGCCCAGAGACAAGAATTCTTATTTTTATTTGGAGTAACGGTACTCAATTTCGAATAGCTGGCCCTAAAAAGGCACATTTTATCATTTTTATAAGCCTTAAATTTGATAAATGTTGAGCAAGGAACATATGTGGTAGGGAAACGTATAAATAAGAGTAGGCTTCCAAAAATTCGTGTAGTGCGGGCTGTAAAATGTGATCTATAGTTCTCAAAAGTTGAATGGAGAAATCTTGGCAAGATAAAAAAATGAAATTTCTTGTTCCTTCTTTAAAAAAAAGCTGACATTACGAAACCTTGGTTGTGACCAAAAAGAATTGACATCAGGAGATACATTTTTAGACCGACGAATACACGATGGCTATCAGTAAGCTTGCTATACGGGCACCACAGAGAAAAGATGACAACAAAAACATGGTCAACGCAACGAAAACAGGACAGCACCACCCGACCGTTGCGCGTTTGTGATATCTTGACTTCATTGTTGCGTTCGTGGTGTACGGCTACCCTGTCTTATCGATTCAAATCAACTATTATAGTTGAGCTTTTTTTTTCATTCTAGGGTTGTGGTTCACAGGCTTGTGTTTTTGTCTGTTTTCGATCTTTTACTAACTGTTCATTCAGTTATGAAGTAAAGACGATTGCTTGCAACAGTTGAACTAAATTATATTTCACCGGTGCATTCCAGAGAGTTCAAAATAAAACAAATAAACACTAGTTAACCAATATAAATCTTACAGAAGTAAGCTTCTACAATTCAACTCATGCTTACCTAACACGGTATGTGTTACATTTGCTAGTTTGCATCTTCACCTGTTCTAGTTGGAAAGCGGCCGGCGAAATCATGTCGCCTCTCCACCAGTGCTTCCCGAATAACAGCGTAGCTGTTCAGCATCACCATAGGCCTGTGAGCCATCCACAAAGTGAAGACGTCGCCGTACGTCTTCGACAATTCGGTTGACTTTGCGTGCAGGTCAGTCACATGGCGCAAAGCTGCGTGTATATAGCAGTAGGTAGGATTGTTAGAGGACAAAAGTATGGTTCATACACTAAGCAAAGTTTCCAGAAATCACGTGATTGTAAAGGCCAGAGTTAGGCTTTTGGTTTTCATAAACCACAGAAATATATGTTTCTCGTAAGTGATTAATCCTTTGTTTATTGCTAAAAGCCGATGTATTGCAGCGCAATAGTCGCTGCAAAGTAGTAAAAAATCTATCTATCTATCTATCTATCTATCTATCTATCTATCTATCTATCTATCTATCTATCTATCTATCTATCTATCTATCTATCTATCTATCTATCTATCTATCTATCTATCTATCTATCTATCTATCTATCTATCTATCTATCTATCTATCTATCTATCTTCTATCTATCTATCTATCTATCTATCTATCTATCTATCTATCTATCTATCTATCTTCTATCTATCTATCTATCTATCTATCTTCTATCTATCTATCTATCTATCTATCTATCTATCTATCTATCTATCTATCTGTCTGTCTGCCTGTCTGTCTGTCTGTCTGTCTGTCTGTCTGTCTGTCTGTCTGTCTGTCTATCTATCTATCTATCTATCTATCTATCTTCTATCTATCTATCTATCTATCTATCTATCTTCTATCTATCTATCTATCTATCTCTATCTATCTATCTATCTATCTATCTATCTATCTATCTATCTATCTATCCATCTATCTATCTATCTATCTATCTATCTGTCTGTCTGTCTATCTGTCTGTCTGTCTATCTGTCTGTCTGTCTGTCTGTCTGTCTGTCTGTCTGTCTGTCTGTCTGTCTGTCTGTCGTCTGTCTGTCTGTCTGTCGGTCTGTCGGTCTGTCGGTCTGTCGGTCTGTCTGTCTGTCTGTCTGTCTGTCTGTCTGTCTGTCTGTCTGTCTGTCTGTCTGTCTGTCTGTCTGTCAGCTTACCCCTTCAACTTGGGGCACACCAACATTAGTACGGGAGGGTAAGATTGATTGATTTGTGGGGTTTAACGTCCCAAAACCACCATATGATTATGAGAGACGCCGTAGTGGAGGGCTCCGGAAATTTTCGACCACCTGGGGTTCTTTAATGTGCACCCAAATCTGAGTACACGGGCCTACAACATTTCCGCCTCCATCGGAAATGCAGCCGCCACAGCCGGGATTTGATCCCGCGACCTGCGGGTCAGCAGCCGAGTACCTTAGCCACTAGACCACCGCGGCGGGGCGAGGGTAAGAGGGTTTGTCGGATAGAGGTCTCTGGTCTTGAGGAACATAAATAATGTCACAATCACGCCGCGTATGTCGTCAAACACTTTCCGAAAAACAGTAGCACATACTCAAGGATGGGTATATGCCACTAGTATGCGGGTATGTGCCACAGGGTGATAGACATTTTACCTCTACCCAGCAACGGCGAGAACACACATGGGTAATGTTAACGCTTCAGAATAAGAAAAATCTGCCATAGGCAGCATTGAGTGGACGAATGCAAAAAATAAATATTAGTGTCCCAGCAGGAACCAAAGCCTAGCATTATGCGTGGCAATGAAGAATTCTACCACGGAGCCACGCCAGGCCTCGAAGTATACTTTTCAAATAAACCCTAATGTCACATAGCGTCAATTTCGGTTGCAGTACTGGCTATCCAATTTTTAAACATTTAATATGAACTTATACGGTACAGCTGTCATGTTCGGTTAACTGTAGTTAGGTGCAATCCACTGAAGTTTATTTCTGTAGTAGTCTTGAAGGATGGCATCCTCGTCAGCCCCAGCACAAACGCCAGCGCCTCCTATGACGTTAGCGCTTCTGGTGTTATATATATATATATATATATATATATATATATATATATATTCGCTCTTTGATGGCTGTATTTTTGATAGAGGTGAACATGCTGCAGGCCCGTGTGATCAGATTTCGGTGCACATTAAGGAACCCCAGGTGGTCGAAATTTCCGGAACCTTCCAGTATGGCGTCTCCCATTACCATGTGAAGATTTAGGGATGTCAAACCCCCATATCAATCAATCAATCAATCAATCAATCAATCAATCAACTCACGATCATTCAGTCAGCTTGCGCGTAAACTAACCACTACACCACACCACGCTAGAGAACCATCTGAAACGAAACAGGCTTGTGTAGGCACTGAACAGTTGTTCACACACGGCGCGAACATTCTTGCAGTTACCCCAAAGAATGGGTGCTTTACTCCACAAGAAGGAAAATGCTCCTCCTTGCGGTTCCGTGTGCAATATTTCGCGTACATTTCGTCTTTCGGAGGAGCAAAGAGCTCTTTTCGTGATAACTGCGCAGTTACTCCGGAAAACTTTTTGTAGTGTACGTGCGTGCGTACACCTCTTAGAGCTCATCCTTGCTAAAATATGCTAAAATATCCTTGCTAAAATATCCTTGCTAAAATATCCTTGCTAAAATAGGGAGAACTAAGCAGCGCTGCGCGTGTGCTTCTCTTCTGTCAGAGTTGTATTTTGAGCTGCAAAAGACAATTGAAGTTTGAATGAAAACTAACTTGCCCGACTCGCAATTAAGCCTTCATCGTGCAAAAAGCCATGACCTTTCACCTTCTCCCTTGTCCGGTGGGTCAAGCTGCTGGGTAATCTTGGAAGCTGAGCTTCCCACTGTACCCGAGTTCACTGCTTTGTTCTTCTACACTTTGCAAACGGCTGCCATTAACTCCTAGTTAATGTAAGCAAGGCTGATCAGATTTAGCAGAGACAAAAGCACAAACATTTTTGTGGTGCTTCTAGTACGGCAGAACTAGCATTTAAAAAGATTCGTCACAATCATCGTCTCACAGCAGCTTCGATAAAGCAGCGATCACGCTTTTCATTTTTGGTGAAAGAAAGCAACTTCTTTGAAGCAGAAAATGCTCTGACTCGTCCATAGTACAATTGCTCGTTCCCATTCATAACAAAGCAAGTACAAGACGTTTTCGCATCTTCTATACTGTAGCCCGCTTTGCTATGCTACAGTACAAGACGCGAAAGATTCGCATGGGCTGCCCGGACCGCAAGGAATATTCAAGGACAATAGTCGCAGCAGAAATTCGGAAAAAAAATTTACTTTATTAAAACATCTCTGGTAACATTTTCATTTTCTCGTAACAATATAATAGTGATTACTGTGGTGAGGGAAAACTTCGCTTTAGTTGTCGGTGTCCTCAGCGTGCAACTGACAGTGAGCACTATCAAAAGTAGGGGGGCTCAACCACCCCCCCCAAACTTTTTTCAAGGAGGGGGGTGGGGGGCTCGCGCTTCCCTTGTCCCCCCGGCTGGTACGCTTATGGGTCTAAGCCAGACTGTGCGCAGCTGGTACTTGTTTGTTGCTAAGCAATGGCACGGAAGAGTTCTCGCGGACGGATGGGCGTTGTACCTTCAGCTTTAGCATCTTCACTGTTTACAGTCATACAATGGTGTCAATGCACTTGCATTATAATGTGCCTTCACGGACTCATTTTTTAATGTTAAAGTTTGAGACGTGGTACATTTCATTACAGTTAGTACGGTCAGCCAAGGACAATTTAGGTGTAATTGCGGTAATCAAATCAACTCAATGCACCGGAAATGGCTCACTGACAAAATGTTGCAGTACGTGAAATGGTATGTTTAAGTATGCGCGTGCGGAGTGTTCAACCGTGTCATTAATTTCCCACGAATACAATTATCCTCTCAATCATTTCATTGATTATCTCTTCTCCCAGTGCAGGATCGCAAACTGGACGCGCGCCTTGTCAAAGTCCCCATCTATGCTTTTTACAGGAAGACGTAGATAGCTAGGTTTGCGGGAATTTTCCTGTTCGTCATCAAAAACGCATGAGCCCCGAAAATCGGGCAGATAGCACTATTCAGCTTCGGTCTACTAAAAATGAAGAGAATACGCTGATGGCAAGCGCCATCTAAGGTCGCGCATGAAAAGCAAAGAGAATGCGGCAAACCAGACGAAACATTGAATGTTGCGAAACCAGTATTTCGAAAAAAAAAACGCAAGTTTCATTCTTCATTCAATTCAGTTAAAAAAAAGTCTACGCTAAATTCTTAAGAGTCTTTCTGGGCAGACATTTTGTACCTAGGCAGGTGCCGGGTGTTCTCTGTAACCTCTATGTAGTGTGCTAAACACCTTCAATCCACCTTGACAAGGCACAGTGGCTCAAAATGTTTGCATCCCCCTCTGTCTCTATAGTGGCCTATCGCTCCTTCTGAGGTTTACTTTGCTTCGGAGGATCCTCGTGATTTTCTTACGTGCTCCGATACAAAGCTGACTGAAGGTGTGCCACTTTAGGCGAGTGCTCTTTTGTTGGAGCGTTACGTGCGAACTAATTCTGGAAGCCAGGCTTAGTATTCCTGGAAAGCGATACACGCCTCTTTCTATTGTTTTTGGCTCCCTATAAAGTACAAAAAAATGATAAGATCCTTGCAAGCCATCCCTTGCCGCACCACTGAGATACTATTGTCTCTTTCACAATGAAAATAAAAAAAACAAGAGGGGGTCTGTGTTTAGAATGGTGGTGTGAGGCAGGTGTGCTTCGTCCTTAAAAATCTTAAGCGGTCCACAGCGGGAAGAAGTACACACATAAATTCAGTGATCAAAGCCCCCTCTACTTTGAGAAAAACAGCAGGTGATGTAGTTATAACAAGAGTGTACAGAGGGGGCCATTGTATGAGACAACACTAAATTTGTGCGAAGATCCGACGTTAGAAATGCATGGCTTCCCGGAAAAATTGCTCAAGATAGGTACCCCCTTTTCGTTAATAACGTTTAACCACCACTATCACATATAAAAGGAAGTATGTACAGACATCAGTGTGGTGGCCATTTTGTTGTATAGGAAGGGAAGGAAGCAACAAAAAGGAGAAGGTAGGGAGCCTACCCAGAAAGACATCCCGTTGGTTGCCCAACCGGATGTAAAAAAAGCACAGTGAAAGGTGCGTTTTTTTTATCTTGGTCCGCTTATCTCTATAACAGCAAATCCGCGAATTGTACAAAAAATATCACATGACGACGTCACGTGAATGCTCCCTATATGATCTGGCTGAAAGTCAGATTAGAGCACTGCGTATTTAAAACTCGCACATGATCAGTAAAAAAAAGTGTTTTCATCGACCTTGTGCAATCCCTCGCATTTCAAAAAAAAAAAAAAAAAGCTGCCTTCATTGTTATTCTGAAGTAATTTTGAAGCAGATTGCAAAAATCTTTCCAGGAGAGTTTTGCTCTGTCCATCTGCGCTTTTGTAATTTCACAAAAACTTATGCGCAACAGAACGACACAATCTGCTACATTACTCAACCTTGGAACACTCACCTAGGAGGTTACCCACAAGTGGAAGTGGGAAGGGTCCCTTTGGGTACTTCGATACACGGTAGTAGAAGTGACCCAACAGGTACGTCACCACGAAGACCAGCGCCGTTGTGATGCACCGCCAATCCAAAATGAAGGAGATCCACCGGAGAGCGGTCATTTCGGCGTGTCTAGACATTTTTGCTCAGCTCAATTTCATTCGTGTGGCCCATAGAGAAAGACAATATTACTAATAACCAACAGAAAATGGAAGGAGGAGGAAGCAACAAAAAGGGAGAAGGCAGGGAGGTTAACCAGAAAGACATCCGGTTGGCTACCCTACACTGGGGGATGAAGGAAGGGGACAAGAAAGACGAGAAAGAGGGAAGAGAGGGAAAAAAGGGGGTGGGGGAGAGACTGACAGTAATTTCACTGCAGCGTGTAGAACTCTACCGCATGTCAGAGGCGTTCACACAAGCCTGTCTTTCTCAGGAAACGCAGCAGGGCTTTCACTGCCTTGTGGGCTGTCGAGGCATGTGTACGTTGCTGTAATAGCACCTGCACAGAAAGAGGCCGATCATCCAGTCGCCGCATTGCGTTGGCAAGTACTTGTCTCTCTGAGGCAAATCGAGGACAATGACACAGCAGGTGTTCGATGTTTTCGTCGGTGCCGCAAACATCGCACGCCGCACTGTCAGTAATTCTGATTAACGTGGTATATGCTTTCGTGAAAGCAACTCCCAGCCAAAGGCGATAGAGAAGCGAAGCTTCACGTCGATGTAGGCCGGGTGGAGGCCGGAGTTGTAGTGAAGGGTCGAGCTCGTGCAGTCGTGTACGTCGTATGCTTGGTGTGTTCCACTCAGTAAGTGTGAGACTGCGGGCCAGTTGACGAATCTGCCTCGCCGCATCCGCTCTTGAAAGCGGTATCGGAACGCTGTTCGCTTCTTTATGTGACGTGCGAGCAGCATGATCTGCAGAATCATTGCCGCCTATACCACTATGCCCAGGTAACCACTGAAAGACGATGTCATGGCCTTTTTGTATTAACAGGTGGTGAAGTTTCACGGTTTGGTAGGTCAACTGGTCGTGGCATCCGCGTCGGAGAACTGATATCAGGCACTGTAACGCTGGTTTTGAGTCAGAAAACACAGCCCATTTACCTGGTCTTTCTTCTGAATTGATGTGTTCCAGTGCATTGCGCAGAGCCTCGAGTTCTGCCGTCGTCGAACTTGTCACATGTGAAGTCTTAAAACACCGAGTTATCCCTTGTGATGGTATAACCACTGCTCCACCTGAACTAGACGGCGTAGTAGAGCCATCCGTGTAAATGTGCACGTGGTTACTGTAGTTTTCTTCCAGTAGGGATAGACTCAGTTGTTTTAGGGCATGTGTCGGTATGTCCGATTTTCTCCTCATTCCTGGAATCATTAAGTGAACTCGCGGCCGGCTCAAGCTCCAAGGAGGAAGCAGTGGCTTTGATGCAGGTGCGTATGTCTCAGCAAACGATGAACGATGCTTGGAGACAATAGTGCCGTATGTCGTGCGGAGCCTTTCAGCAGCTAGGCTCGCCAGGTGGTGAGAAGGGGTCCTGGCATAATGCCTGAGGTGCATGCGCATTGTCTCGGTAATAATATGCGTATTTATCGAGTGATCTTGAGCGATGGCATTAGTTTCAGCCGTTGAAGCACTGCGGGGTATTCCAAGGCATATCTTAAGTGCTTGTGCTTGAATGCTCTGAATTGCGCGCAGGTTGGTCTTGCTGGTGTTAGACATTGCAGGTAAGCTGTACCGTAAGAATCCGATAAACAGCACTCTGTACAGTTGTAGCATGGATGATATGGGCACTCCCCAATTTTTTCCTGCAAGGAATTTGAGCATGTGTCATGTTGCGATCAGCCGCTTCTTCACATAGTTCACGTGTGGAGTCCACGACAGGTTTCTATCTATTATGACTCCCAAGAACCTGTGGCTTCTGCTGAACGATATGTATTCTTCATTAATCGATATACTGTAAGCAGACATTGGTTTCCGCGTGAACGCTACCACTGCACATTTTCCGCAGGACACCTCGAGGCCTTGTTTACGAAGATAGCATGACGCCGTTGTAGCAGCCTTCTGAAGGCGGGTGCGAAGCTGAGGCCTTGTCACACCTGATGTCCAAATGCAGATGTCATCAGCATAGACAGAAAGTTGTACAGTGCTAGGTAGCTGCTCGACTAGACCAATGAGAGTTAGGTTGAAAAGTGTAGGGCTTAGCACTCCTCCCTGAGGAACTCCTCGGCTGCTGTAATATTCAGGTGTTGGGCCATTCGCTGTCATCACGTAAAATGATCTCAGCTGTAAGTAGCTGCACACCCACATATATATCTTGCCACCAAGACCTACTGTTTCCAAAGCATCAAGGATGGCTTCATGGGTGACATTGTCGTAAGCCCCCTTAACGTCTAGAAACAGGGTGGCGCACAGTCTCTTACAGGCTTTCTGGTGTTGAACATATGTCACCAGATCAACAACGTTGTCGATTGACGAATGGCCGCGCCTGAATCCGGTCATGGATATTGGATAGATTTCGTAGTGCTCTAAATACCACTCCATTCGTGTTAGAATCATTCGTTCCATCGTTTTTCCCACACAACTGGCAAGTGCGATAGGACGGTATGAGGCGATATCCAAAGGAGATTTACCAGCCTTTAGAAGTGGAATGAGGCGACTTGACTTCCATGCCTGGGGAACAGTACCAGTCTGCCAGGAGTCATTGTATAGGCGTAAGAGTGCCTTCCGAGCTTCGTCTCCAAGATTACAAAGGGCACGATAGGTAATGCCGTCAGGACCGGGTGCTGAAGAACGTCTGCACAGAGCCAGTGCCACCTCTAGCTCATCCATAGAAAACTGGCATTCCATACGGGGATCACGTGAGGGCGGTGGGTTGTCAAAAGTTCCCGTTCTCGATACTGTGAAATTGGAATCACCGGCAATTCTTCTACAGAAAGATTCTGCGACGCCAATCTCTCTGCATCGAAGGTGAAGTGCCAGAGATGTAAACGGGTGTCGCTGACCCAAGGTTGTGCTAAGACCCCGGACAGTTCGCCATATCAGTGATAGGGGCTTTCGTGGATCCAACGACTCGCAAAAGGATGTCCAACGTCGCCTAGCCAGTTTATCCATGTGCCGCTGCATTTTCTTTTGAATGCGTCTAGCCAGCCTCAAATCATCCATGCACTTTGTCCGTCGGTACCTTCGTTCTGCACGGCGGCGTATTGCGCGAAGTTTCTCAATCTCGATGTCGAAATCAGTGCGCTTGTGACTAGTCAAATGTGTATGCGTAGTATTATGCAGGACATCCTTTATCGAGTCCTCTAGGTTATATGATGAGCCGTCGGTACAGCAGTCTTCCATTAACATTTTGAATTTCGGCCAATCGGTGTACTTGAGGCCTCTTGAGGACTTGGAGCTGGTGAAACCTTCTATACACAGGTAAGTTGGTATATGGTCGCTGCCCCGCGTTTCCAGATCCGAAAACCAGTGCACTTTTCTGATAAGTGAGCGAGAAACCAATGTAAGGTCCAGGCAGCTGCTATAGGCTGATCCGCGTAAATATGTAGGGCTTCCATCGTTACAAACGCAGAGTTCGTACTCCGAGGCTAAGGACACCAATTTTCTTCCTCTAGAGTTATCCCTGGAGCTTCCCCATAGGAAATGGTGGGCATTGAAGTCGCCAGTGATCACCCATGGCCTTGGAGTCGATGTCAGAATACCGAGTAAGCGCTCGCAGTCAAGGCGGCATGATGGAGATAAATAAGCTCCGATAATCGTGAAAGCAACCTTATCCTTCTTCACAGTAAGGCACACATACTGATTCCCTTCATCAGGCGAGACTCTGTGGTGAACGTAAGTGAGGTCATGGCGCATGAATACAATAACTTTGCTGCATTCTCTGTGAGTGGAGGACATAAAGCACTCATATCCTGACAGCTTGATTGAAGCACACAGGTTGGGTTCACAAATCACAATAATGGGGAAGCGGTTCACAAATACAAATTGTCTAAAGTCAGACATGCGCGACTTCAGTCCTCTGGCGTTCCACTGAAAGACAGATGCATTCTTGACTTCCGCTCGAAACGAAGGTGCCTCGCTGGCCATGGTTTTACCTTAGAGCTGCAAGCACCGGACTCAGGGTGTCCAGCATATTGCAGTGCGGTCTGCGCAGCAGAAGTCTTCATATTACTCAGTAGGACACGCATGGTACTCATCAGCGATTGCAGCAAGCTTATCACTTGATCTTCATTCATCGCATCACTGGTTTGAGGGGTCGTCGAGGGCGGCGGGATTTGATGCAGCTCCGAAGTAGGTTGACGTCGTGGAAGAGAGGGCCACTGTTCGGGAGGCGCGACTGCTGTCCCTTTCTTTTGTTTGGCAGTATCCGTCTTCAGTGAGCTCGGTGTTTGTGGGTCAGCCTCTTTGATAGAGGATGACATTTCTCTATCGGTAGAGGCGTTTTTCCGTGATGGTCTTCGCCCACGACGCCGTCGTCGGCGTAGTGTAGCGGCAGCTTCCCTGTGCGTTGAATTGTCCCGCACCATACGCCTGAGTACCGCGTGCTCGTTTCGCACCCGCGGGCAATCTTTGGATGAGGCCTCATGAGCGCCGTGGCAGTTTGGACATCGTAGTATGGTGGCACTGCAGGCGTCTTTTGAGTGAGACTCAGCGCACCGCGGACACACAACTTTGTTCTCACAGACACCTTTTACGTGTCCCATCTTGAAGCACTTGTAGCATTGCAGTGGCTTCGGTATGTAAGGACGCACTGAGTGGCGAACATGGCCAACTTTTACATACGAGAGAAGGCTGTCTCCCTCGAACACAAGCCTCAAGCAGCGTGAGTTGCCGAGTCTGGTAATGTGCGTAATGCGGGTGCCTTCAGTCGCTGGCTTTATTAGTATTGGCAGGTCATTAGCTGAGATGGAAAGATCCACATCATAAATGACGCCAACAGTGCCATTACAACCTGTAGCGACCATTGGCCGAACTTTCACGTTGCCGATTTCTGTTATGTGCCGAAGGTTTTGCAGTGCGCTACGGTGCATAACGTCTACAGCAAGGACATTCTTTCGTGCATTGATCCTCACGTCTTTGATCTCATTCGGCGCGGTTTCCTCGAGAAGCACAGAAAGAACTTGCCTGTTGAGG